AAATAGCATGTCAATTTGACATGAAAGCATGCCCAAAATCCAAGATAAATCTACAGGATAGGTTTAAAAACGGTTTTAGCGGTTTTAAAGCTAGTCCAGTTGGGCTCATAACCTGAAACCTAGTAGATTGGGTAGACTACTTTAGTTTTTACGCCCATGACACTTTCAGCGTAGATCTAGTTTTAATACATCATTACAAATCTATGGACACTTTTATGTAACACCTGAAATAATCAATACCAAAGCACCGAACGAAATCTAATAGGCCTACAAATGAAGTCCTACATCTATGTACGCCTTAGTCCAGTAGCGGAGCCAGTTTGACGTCCGAGAAGGGCAAAATATCTTAGGATGCCCGAATTTCTAACCTAGTTATGAGAGCCATGCCCGAAAAACATGAATTCGGCTCCACGAGAGGGTGCGGCCTCTGACCCCCCACACCCACCCCATTTGGCTCCGCCACTGCCTTAGTCTCCGAACGCCGAAAACTAGACGAGTTAACAAGCAAAGCCTTTCGCTTCGTAGTGGCATTATTGAATTAATCGTAATGGGCATAGACTAACAGAGGTTTTTTTTATTAATCCGAAATTTCCAGTACATCATATCCCTATTTTACCCGTAAAATTTAGGCTCTGATCATCTATATATTATTATTTGAGAATACTCTGGATTCTAAAATCTATGACTCGACACCAGTTGGTACTCGTATCGTTTTAGTAAGAGTAAGCAATTTTCGGACTTCTATCAAATAGTTTCCATTGATTGGACATAAATTATATTCAACTTATGCGATTAAGGAGAAATTTCATTCACAGAATCGCATTATATTAAAGATTATCTATAGTGTGTTGAAAAAAGATGCAAGGGAAATAACTCATATATACATGGTCATGACTATTTAAAAATTATAATGAAACGTACAGCACATTGAAGCCAATGGAAACTTGAATTTCAATTATCGTTTAGTTGCAATTCCACAAATGGTGACATAAAAATGAATATGGGTCAAGTTATTATAAAAGAAAATAATGACTTTAGAATATAGATCGCCTATTGTACTGCTCTGATGGAGATTAGACTGAAAGTAAAACTTTATAAAAAACACAAGGCTTTGGCACAAGGTTAAAGTTATGTTTATACATAGCGCATAATAATATTATTATCCTAGGGCGCTTTCGGTGCTCGAAGTCTTGCTTAGCCCGACATCTCAGCCCTCTTCAAAATTTTTAGGCAAACCAGTCTGCGACTATTGAATGTTTTCAAACTTTCACTAGTCTCTCCACCATAAAAGTTGCTCTGAAAATTAGTATTGAATCCAAAGTCTGACCCAACCTCATTCATTGAAAAGAGTTACGGGCAGACAGCCTATATTTTATTTCTTGTTCCTCTCATCAAAACCAAATCATATAGGGTCTAAGTGGCCCTGTTGTTGTCTGTTGTCGTAATGGTGGACCTATCTGCCTTTTTGGATAGCATACATCATTATACAAGATAATACACAATAATAAGTGGTACAAATATGACACACTGACATCAATTAATAGTTATACAAAAAAATATAGTGTATACATAAACAAGTAACAAAAAAAAAAAGCAACATCATAACTATTATTAATTTCCTTGCAAAATGACAAAGATAGCTTGCCAGGTAAGGTAATATACGCCCACTGGTAGCTTTGAAATAATTTTTTAAATAAAAATATTTGGCAGTACAATACAGTACAGTACAGTACAGTAATATTACCAGTATGAAATATTCAACCTTCAGACATACACTTCTTTTAAACATTTTGAGGCGATACTGAATAATATTATCAAAATCTGTCAAGAATTGGGCCATCTAGACTGTTTACGGGCTAAAAATTGAACGCGTTTTCAAGAACAAGGGAAATAACTCATACTTAATATTTTTTGATTTTTCTGATTTTCGATAGGGTTTATCCTTGGGTGATTACAAACACTCACACCAAGTTTCGTCAAAATCCGTCAAGAATTGTGCCTTCTAGAGTGTTAACAAGCTAAAATTGAACGCGCTATGAACGCGCTTTCAATAGCAATGGCAATAACTCGTACTAATTATTTTTCGATTTGTCTGATTTTCAATAGGGTTCATTCTTGGGTCATAACAAACACTCATGCCAAGTTTCGTCAAAATCCTTCAAGAATTGTCCCTTCTAGAGTGTTTACAAGCTAAAAGTTTTCAAGAACAAGGGCAATAACTCATACTAAATATTTTTCGAATCTTTTGATTTTCAATAGGGTTCCGTTGTATCTGTTGATTATTTAGGACACACTATTTCTGGTAATGGTATACAGCCTAAAGAACAACTTACACAAGCAGTCATAAATGTACCTGCTCCAGCAAATAAAGATTAACTTCGATCGTTTCTGGGACTTTGTGAATACATGTCAAAGTTTATTGAGAACTTTGCTTCGAAAGTGGTTCCACTCCGTGAAGTAATGAAAGAATGTAATACATTCCAGTGGACAGACAATCATCAGAAGATTTTCGATAAAATAAAGTACGAAATAAGTCAACGTCCAGTTCTCGGTGCATTTGACAGTAGTTCCAGTGAAGTGTAGAATTGGAGTCGTTTATTTCCAGAACTTTATCTGAAACAGAACAGAGATATTCTGTTATTGAAAAAGAGATGTTAGGCTGTTACTGGGCTACAAAAAGACTAAGAATATTTCTATGGGGTCGACAGTTTACACTTAGGACCGACCACAAACCTTTGATTCATATTTTAACCACAAAGGGATTTTCATCTGATCGCACCAGTCCACGCATCAACAGATGATCTACAAGAATGTTCGAATTTAACTTCACGACAGAGTACACACCAGGACCTGAAAATGTATTGTCTGATTGCTTGTCACGACTTCCTATTCCAGCTGACAACGATGACTACAGTCATGATACACCCGCTGACGAATCAATAGCCAATATTCAGCAAATTACAAATGGTATGATTTTATCTGCAGAATTGAAAGAAACTAGAGCAAAAGACTGTATTCTCCAGGATGCTATTAAATACACCAACAGCCATTGGCCAGCAGTTTCTTCACTTTCATAAAGTAGCTCATGAATTACAGCATCAAGATGGGTTATTGTACCGACATGAAAGACTACTTGTTCCACAGACTTTATAAAATCGTGTCATCCAAAAAGCTCACGAAGTACACTTTGGCATGACGATGGTGAAACGCCGAATTCGACAATACCATTGGTGGCCTGATACGGACAAATTGGTAGAAGATGAAATACGTAAATGTTCATAATGTCAAACAAGTGACAAACCTTTCAAGTGTACAACTCCACCTCTAACTCCAATTCCACTTCCTGAAAGAGTTTGGCAAAAACTAGCTTTAGATATTCAAGGACCTTACGTTAAAGGAGATGTGAAGTGAAAAGATGTTATCTCCAGAGAAGGTCTACCTGAAACTTTGGTAGCTGATAATGGTGTACAATTTGTATCGTACCAAATGACTGAATTTCTTCAATCTAATTCCATTAAACACATTAGTTTAGTGGAACGTATGAATAGAACCATAAAAGAATTAATCCAAATTGGAAAAATCGAAGGAAAAACTCCTATTCAATATACAATGGAAAGATTAGTATCATACCATTGAAAATTACAGCTATCAATGACTTTTGTGCCAGATTATCAAATGGAACAAAATGGAACTTTTCCAAATTAGTTTTAGTTAATCCTACAATCATAAAGGACTCATTCCTTAAACCAAACACCAATGAGAATTTTGGATTTACATTTAACACAGGTGCAGAAAATCACAATAACATTTAGAATCCTGCACCAAATCATGACAACCCACCTGCTCCTATATACAGAAGGAGTAATAATAGAGTTGCAAGAAGACCACAGAGATATATACAACGACTTTGTGGTGAACTGACATTTTATTAATTCAAAAGTAATTGTTTAACGTGTGATTTATTTTCAGTTTTAAGTGACACATATATTTAGTTCATCCACAAAGTGACTATTGAGGAAAAAGGTACTTTTCCAAAAAAGGAGATGTGTGGTATCGTCAGAGTTTCGAACTACCTATGTCGTAAAAGAGATCATTCGTGTTAACGGGATTATTATTACCCGGGGAGGGAACTCGTGATGGAGGAAGAAAAACGCATGTACGATGTTTTATGTTTACGGCTTAGGGGGCTATTAACGATTGATACACCAATACATTTTCCCCATAATTCCACCCTACAATACAATAGGTTCATCCTTGGGTGATTATGAACACTCACACCAAGTTTCGTCAAAATCCGTCAAGAATTGTGCCTTCTACTACTACGAGCTAAAAATTGAACGCGTTTTCAATAATAAGGGCAATAACTCATACTAAATATTTTTCGATTTTCCTGATTTTCAATAGGGTTTATCCTTTTTACTGAGTCAAGGGGAGTCTGTATTATGAGACAAACAATCCTGATCCTTAAATTCGTCGGGAAAGGTCAGAAATCGCATTTCCGAGCGTCTAATTCCCAAAATGTTCTAAGCCGCATACGTACTACAGACCCAATACAAATAATCTTGAACCTTAACTTCTCTGGGAAATGTCAGGAATTTGCGTTTCCGGGTGTCTAATTTTCTCGGATTGTATTTTCCTGGTAACGGGCCTGCTCGGGCGACGATAATCTCTGGCATTATCTGGGTATCGATATATTGCACATTGGAGGTAGCTGGAAGAAAGGTCAAGAGATAATAGGCATTATAACTTGCAATGATCGTTCAAACAGTCAAATTTATTATTTATTAATCCTTACGAGTCAGGAAAGAATAACTAATGTATATTTCCTATTGTCTATTCAATCAATTCTATTCAAAAAAATTTTGAATTTTTAGCAGAAACAATAAACGAGATGCTTTATAACGTTATATAAAGAGTTAATTTTCTGTATTCAGGATATTTGAATCTATCGTGATAAAAATTGTCCATATCGCGATACAAAAAATATCTCATATCGCCCAACTCTAGAATCATGTTGTTATTGTGTCTTTCTTAAGCTACATGAAATAACAGAAACAAAATGGTTGACAGACATATATTTAAAATAACTACGCCAAATTAAATAAGTTTATTGATAAAATGTGACGAATATTTTTATTTCAAAACATATGAACATGTATTCTTTATGGGAAACCCGATATGTAAGTTTAAATTTGAATCACAAAATAGTCCGAGATAATTCAAGATGGCGGCGCCCATGGAATTCAGATTCAACAATAGATTTCCACTTAGTTTTTTGAGTCGGGACTCAACTGTCATTTGTCTGTCAAATCGAGTATTTTAGGCATTGAAAACATTCTTTCGATGCAAAATATTGAAAATAAATTAAGACGCTTCTTTGTTTTACTAAAATATGTACGTCCAAACAAAGCCCCACCTTTTACGTGGTTATAGGTGTTATAGAAGATACTTAAGAAGCACTGGCATAGGTCACAAGTAGAGACTATGGATTTCAACATGTTCGTGATCCGACTGTGAGAACGGGATCATCCACACACTAACCTATTTTTGAACGCTAATATTTTTGGCCGATTAATAGTGAAAAGGGATATGGATAGACAAAATTGAGCTGTACTTAACAGCTGGTAAAGCAAACTTTTATACATTTACAACTCTCTAGGGTTTCCAGACCTTATTTCAAACTCTTTTAAGTGATGGTTTATATATTTAATATATCATAAATAATAGGCTATAAAGTATAATAAACTATAGTCTGTGACATCAGCTTTGGCTGGAAGAGGAAGACTACATGCTAATAATCTACCACCCAGCCGACCTTTAAAACACTACCTAACCAGTTAATCCTTTATCTAAATCCCTTTATATATGGGATTATATCATATACGTTAACGATATTTGACAAGTACATAAATACATATATACAGGCTATATTTTACAACTCTGTTGTTCATAAGACTAGATACTCGTTTACCCTATTTAGTATTCAAGTGTGCTTATCTCCATGGCAGCCAAGAGTATTGAAGCCCGCCCTCTAATCCTAACCACTACAAACAAGAGTTATGATTGTATATTACAGGTATAATAACCATTCTAACTTCAAAGTATCACTAAAATGGCGAACGCCGCAGCAAATCAAACTTCATCAAAAGTGAAAAATATAAATTTTGTGGCTCAAGATCAAATATGGTAGAGTAAATTTCTTTGTTTTGTTTACAAATAGACCCTTTATGTGCTTTTTGGCTTTGTCGTTTGAATAGGCCTATATATGTATGAATTCTGAAATTTTTAGCCTTTTCATGACATGACCAATTCATTCAGCCATTTCATGAAATGGTTAAATACTTCAGGCTTTTCAGGAAATGGCTGAACTTTCCATGTTAAAGTTACACTGATTGCCTGGTGCAATTTGAGCCAATCTGTGTAATAATCTTTGGCTTTATAGGGACTTTGATAGTATAGTTTGTTTGATAAAATAATTGACAAATAATTGTTATAAATGATTTTAATTTTGTGATCATCAGTTCCAATACATCTTTAAATCAATGCAAATGATTTTTGCACTTAATAATTTATTCTTATCTAAAAATATAATCCTTTTATTTAATGAATGGTTAATTAATGCAGGCTTACTTGATTGTAGAATGTGGGCTCAATCACTTATTATCCTATCCTATATTATTATATTTTACAAGATTCTCTCCCATACAGTAACAAGTCATCCTAATCATTTAGGATAATCCCCCACCCTGATTTGCTTATTGAAGCCCCATGTTTGCTTATTGCCACTCCCATTAATCCTTAATTAACTGTTGCTATTGTTTATTTTTGTACATATATACCTTCTTGTATTATATTTCCTCATTTCACCTGATGATGACAATTGTGTTCCGTTATTTAATTATTGGTATAAAATCACTTGCTTCTGAATGTTCATTACACTTTGACTTCTTAAGACCAACGAAATTGATCAGACAACTGTTGAACTAAAATTCAGAGAAGCTTTGTTTCAAAGTATTCGCAGTGTGAGAAATATATCCTTCCTAGAAACGTTTACTATCAGATAATCACCGACTTGAAGTTGGCAGTCTTTACCGACCAGTCGATATGCAGTCTTTACCTCAGGGACAATTCAAATGGATTATGGTGTACCAATGCCATCTAACGAAATTTGTTATTCTACGACCACTAAAAAAAAAAGCCACAGAAGTCGCCTATCAACTACTAGACATCTTCCTTCTCTTCGGTGCACCTGCAATTCTGCAGAGCGACAATGGGTCCGAATTTACCGCCCAGCTCATCACTGCGCTTAAAGAGTTATGCCCACAGCTTATTATGGTCCATGGAAAACCAAGACATCCCCAAAGCCAGGGCTCAGTGGAGAGAGCAAATGGCGACATTAAGGGCATTCTGGTAGCCTTGATGAGTGACAACAAAACCAATGACTGGACAGTTGTCCTTTAGTTTACACAACAACAGAAGAACTGTTCACACCATGCCGGTATAAACCAGACACCTTACAAAGCGCTTTTTGGCGAAAATCCGAAAGAGGGACTAACGTCTTCAAGTCTACCAACTGAAATTCTGGCAAGACTACAGTCTGAAGGTGATTTACTAGCTATTTGCGACCAACAATCCCAGACTACAACACTCTCTACCACTATGGACGAACCACTACCAACCACGCTTATCACTATGTACGAACCACTACCAACCACGCCTATCACTATGGACGAACCACTACCAACCACGCCTATCACTACGGACGAACCACTACCTACCATGCCTATCACTACGGACGAACCACTACCTACCATGCCTATCACTATGGACGAACCACTACCAACCACGCCTATCACTACCCCTACTTCCAACCTGGAACAACGGCAACAAACAATCTTGAAGCAGAGAAAAAACTAAACTATACAAAACTATTCATCTTTCCAAATATATCTAGGTTAAGATCCGATTTGAGTAAATAGGTTTAAAACCCCGCGAATAAATTCCAATATAACAGCCTATAGTTTTTCTGTCTCTATATACCAGCCAACAAGTCTATTTCCAAAGCTTATAATAGTGAAATCTGGACTTTTTTATTCTTCCATTTTTCAGGAAGGATCATGTATCAGGTGAAATTGTTGCAGCTAAAAACTGGCCCGAAACGTGGGACTTCTTAAATAAAAAATATGAAGATGTAAGTAGATTTATCTTGATCACGTCTCTTTTTTTGCAGATCTAGATGATTTGTTTCGTGTTTTTTTCTACAGGTTACTACACTTAGGGGCCTAGTATCTATGATCTGACAAGATTCTCCTTTAAATCGACTATTAACAACATCGTAAAAAGTATACAGAGTATACAAGTAAATGTTTAACAATGAATATCATATAATTCCTCTCATAAAAAATTTAATCTGTTATTGAACAAAGCATTTGATTGGTTGTATATTAAATGACCCATAACAGGGATGCATAACAATGTTGTCAGATCATGGATGGCCATTTCAAGTGGAGTTAACTGAAAACAAAATTCACAACATCAAGATTTGTATTCTAATCAGCTTAAGGGCTTAAATGTTCATAGGCCTATTGATTTCCTTTTACTTTTTTTGTTGTTGTTGTAATCTTAGTTCTTTCATCATTTGCGTGAATGTTAATAAGTGTTAAAACGCCTTTATAAGCAAATTTACTCCTATCTTAATCTATATTCCAGCTTGTAGAGGAAGACTTTCCTCAGATCACAGAAAGAATGAAGAATAAATCTTCCACGAAAAAAGACCTAACCTCACTAGTGCAAGTCCGACCTGTTACTCCTATAGAAGAATATATTCACGTGAAACCGTCGCCTCGTCCATTTCCAAAAACTACATCCCAGATGGTGGGATGGAGATCTGCAGATCGGAGTTTAGCTTTAGAAAAATACGGCAAATATTCTCGTCCTAAAGGTGGATTAGTAAAACAATTAAACTGGCCAAATGAAGCCGTTAGCTAATCTAATAATATAATAAATTATAGGCCTACAGTAGGCTAGGCCTATTATAATTTTTCTCTTCGACTAGAACAAGTTCGTTGTGATCTTACGATATATATATTTAGCAATAATCATTCAAAAACTTTTTTTTATACAAATATTAAAATACAAATTTACATTTTCACCTGTCTTACTTATTTAAACTTTAATAAATGTATACTCCAAATGAATCCCGTTGTTTCTTTCGTTCACTGGAAAAAAGCTATAGTACACAACACAAACTTGTGTTGCACGGTCTTCAACACAAGTCTTGTGTTCATCAACACAAGACTTGTGTTAAAACTTGTGTGGGAAAAACACACAAACCTGTGTTAGAATTGAACAAACTTGTGTGTTGTATACCCTCTCTTGTGTGTTGTTTTGAAATGCTAACTTGTGTTGATTTATAACACAAGGATGTGTTAATATACTTGTTGCATACAAATCCTTGTGTTGTTGTATTGGGATGTGATCCCTGGACCGATGTATTCTTTAGAAGGGTAGTTTCAACTCAAGTTGATCATCAATATTCTTTATTGTTAAACAATCTTCAATCGTAATAAAAAACTTGGTAAAACCTTAAATAAACAAATAAGGTTTTCTTAACACATGAAACATATATAAAAGGTATTCAAAAGTTTAAACTAAAATCGTAACTATTCTCTACTGTACTATCTAACAATAAAAAGTCTTACTTACATCAAGACACATGAACTATATTAAAAGACTAATGCAATGAAACAAGGGGGAACAAAGGAAATAAAACACTATTTTGTTTTACAAAGGGGTAATTATGGCTTAGACTTACATCTGGATAATACATGAACTAAACAATAAAGTTAATCATATGCAAACTAAACAATAAGGCTAATGCACTGAAACGGGAGAAAATATATACATATAGCAATGTCCAAATACAAACAAAGGAAATATAACATGATTTGCCATAAAAAGAATAAAACATTGTGAATAAGACAATAAATGCAAAAGATAAAAAAGTGACACATTCTACAATAGTTCCATTACATATTAAAATACAAAAACTTACTTTTCCTTTTGAATACGGTCCTAAACTGACTACTATATTTTAAAACAGCACGTTTGAAAACTGACTATGGAACTGACTATGGCATCATTCCTCTTAAACTAGGTCAAACTTTCCTTATTTCTGATTGGTGGAACATAAATAGAAACACTAATGCCAATAAGAAAACTGGAGTTGTGCACCTTGAATTTAAAGGTACTACAGAAGTAAAACATATAAAATGATAAATAATGTTTTGTTGAGAAAAATAATTGATGTGGCGAATATAATTAACAATAACTGTTTCATTGTTTATAGTAATGTCCCATATTAATCCAATACACCGGGAGGATGAGGTCGCCACGATCAGTATTTTGAACATATCTGAATCCAAATCCAAATATTCAAACCACAAATTGTAAAACATGTATATTTTTCACACATTTATGTGGTATTATTGTGACCACATAAATATTAATTTAAACACATTGATTTAGAACACACTAAATCTAAACACTTTGATATAAGCACAGACTACGTTAACCACACAGAACTAGTTCATCATCTATATCTGACTTGTAATCAACAGGAACAATTAAAGCCAAACGTTGAACGCTTCGCATAACTGTTGTATCCTTGACTCCATTGTACACTTCAGATTTTTCTCCAACTTTATAGTTCTTGTACGTAAGAGTTACTTGACGCACTTTACCATCTGCACCAGGAAATACCTCTTTGATTAATCCAAGTCGATATTCTCCACGGAGTGTGTTTTTATCGGCTACAATTACAACATCACCACATTGTAGGTTGCGACTAGATGTAGCCCATTTTTGACGTATGACAAGAGTTGGAGCGTACAATTCAATCCATTTCTTCCAGAAATAATCTGTGACGGTTTGTACCAAACGATATCTGGAATGGATGGAGCTATGAGGTTGCCAGCCTCCTGGATTTTTGGCAGTGGCTCTACCTAGTAATAGACTGTTTGGTGTAAATACTTTTATGTCTGCATCTTCACCTAGTGTGGCCCCAATTGGTCTTTCGTTAAGTAAATTAGATACTTCAGTGCAGACTGTGAGAAATTCTGGCACTGAAAGGCGTTGGTTGTGTACTGCAAAGTTTATAGCTCTTTTGGCACTTTTGACAAGGGATTCAACAGCTCCTTGATGCTGTCTGCAAATCGGCTGAGTGCCATAAGGAATGAACTTGTATCATACCCATATACCGCTTCAATATGTACTGCTCTCATGGTTAAGTCTGTGAAGATAACTCCATAAGCTTTTCCACTTGTGCGCTTCTGAACCTCACCACGAACCAAGTAGGGTCCAAACAAATCAAGCATAACATGATTGAAAGGAGTAGATGGTTTCAAACGTGCTTCAGGTAATAGACCCATTTCTTGTTTGAGAAGAATTGGTTCTCTTAACTTGCAAAGCTGGCAACTTCTTTTCGAACTTCTGGCAAGTTTATCTCCATGGGGGACCCAGAAATGCTGTCTAAATTTAGACAAAGTTGCAGTTCTGCCTCGATGACCGGACTCATGAGCACGTTGCATGAACAGTTTGGTGCCATAATGATTTTTAGGCAGTAGCTTCTGAAGTTCAGAATCAGCTGTCATAGCATTATACTTCTGCATGCGTTGTCCTACAACCCATATCCCATCCTGGCCTTTGACTGGGTTGAGTCTTGAATAACGACCTCCTATTCCTGACTTGCAATTGACCTTTTGTAATTCTTCTGTTATAGTGCGCTGTATGTCTTTGACTATGAAGTTCTCTGCTTTTCGTAAGTCCTCTGGTGTTACATTACTGCGTTGTCCGCCTTTTAAAGACTTGTGTGTGATGATGTTCTTTAGCCTTGCTACGATCCATATGATGATTTTTATTGAACTATAACGATTATAGTCAATAAACTGTTGACAAGCAAGTGTTGCTGCTGTTCTACACACTTTCCACTCTCCTGGTAGTGAGATATCTTGTTGTAAACCAAATTTTAATCCCCATTCTTCTTCCGGTTTATATAAAATTGATGGACCATTCCACCATTCGGATTCATTTCCCAACTGTTTTGGAGTACGACCTCTGGTTAACCAATCTGCTATGTTATTGTCACCCGAAATCCAGGCCCAATTTGACATATCACCATTAGAGACAGCTTGGATTTCACCAATTCTAACGCCTTCATAAACTTTGAATCTGGTACTGGTTTTGTTGAGCATATTCAAGACTGTTTCTGAGTCAACAAGATGAAGAATTCTTTCAAAGTTAAACCGCATCTCCTTTTGTAACACTACACTTGCTCTCTTGGAAAGGACTGCACCATTCAATTCCATCTGGGGAGTTGACAATCTGTTGATTGGAGCAATTCTGCATTTGGCCATTATTAACCTTAACCAATGTCCGCCGTCTTGTAATTTCCACATGATATATGCTGCAAATCCATATGCAACATTACTACCATCACTCAATATAATCAAAGAAGGTTGTCCAACTGCATCTAATGGATGTAAACATCTTTGGAACGTTAGTTGTTCTAATTCAAACAAAGTTTTGAAGAAATTTACCCATTTCATTCGTAAATTTTCTGGAAGTTGATCATCCCATCCAAGTTTTAATTCCCAAGTTTCTCTTAAATATACTTTAGCAAGAAGTGTAAATGGACTGAGTAATCCCAATGAATCATAAATTACCATGACTTGTTCTAATACCATACGCCTGGTGAGAACAACTGGAATATCCTTTGGTAGATTGGCTTCCAGAAGGTTAGGTCCTGTGCGTTGTCCCTTTTTCATCTTGGAGAAATTGAGTGTTACTTGAAATAGCATGATATCTGGAACTGGGTTCCAACCAAGACCAAGTACTCGAAGATTGTCCTTCGTGCCTTTTAGTAACATTTCAACTTCTTTGGAGTTGGTAGACTCAGATGGATCTCCTGTTACATGCACATTTGACTCTCCACTAAATTGCCAACATTTGATTTTGAAACCACCTTTGTTGAGCATCATCTCTGCCTCAGATGTAACCTTTTGAGCATCAGACAAGTTATGGAACGAGTCAATCAGGTCATCTACATAACTGGATTTCTTTAGGAATTCAGCCGCTCTTGCACTTTCATGATGAAACATATCTGCTGTTTTGTAGATCGCCTCTGTACTAATTGCTGGAGCAGGTGTGTCTCCCATGTTGACTCGTTCAATAACATAAATATCAGGCGTTCTATCTGGTTCCAGATCTCTCCACAAGAAACGATGACATTGTTGCTCCAAAGATTCTAAATATATGGAGTTGAACATTTTCTTGATGTCCCCTACTACTGCAACCTCCTCCTCCCTCCATCTTAATGGTAACCCTACCAAGTTGTTAAGATACGCATCTGGTCCTTTAGCGAGACAGCTGTTCAGAGAGATTCCTTGGTAGATTTGACTAGAATTGAAAACAATTCGAACAGGAGTGGACTGGGACTTCGGATTCGAAACTGCCAAATGACTGATATAAAAAAGTGGACCCTTCCATGATTCTGCTTCCTTTACTGACAATTTCCTTGCAACCTGCCGATCAACCATATCCTGGATCTGTAGCTTATAAGTAGTAGCCCATTGTGGATCTTTATTTAATGTACGTTCAGTATTCATTAGGGTGCTGAATGCTGCCTGATAGTTATTTGGTAAAGCAACGGGATCAACTAACCATGGATAACTGGTGATCCAACATTTCCTTTCTGCATCATATTGAAGATTATCTTGAATAATCCTGAGCTCCTGTTCTTCTTTGAAGGAGAATGTGTGGCCAACTGTTGGACATTTTCCACAATGACATGCACCACAACGTGGAGTTGTACCAGTGCACAGCTCTTCGCCTTTAATAAATGTGTCAATATCCTTGTCACTGTTCTTGTTGTAAAAGGTGTTGACAGCATTCACAGAACTAATGCTGTAAGGTATATCAGAGGGTTGCCCTAAACTTATTGGTGCGTACATTGCTGGTCGATGGCTTGGCGACACAAATTCATGATGAGAATACAGATGATGTGTTGAATGATGTGACGCCAAACTCTCCAAACATAATACTGAGGTGTTCACCAGCTTTAGCTACTTCAGTCTTGGGATGTAGTCCGAAATAGTCACAACCTAGCAAAATATCTACTGTGTTAGACTGCCGTTGAAGTAGATTGGGATCATAATCTGGGAACAACTCGCTCAAAATGAGAGTGTCCAGCTTACTGACCGTGCCTGTTATGTTCTCCACACCAAAGGCAACTACTCTTACTTTTTTCCCACTTTGTGTCTGCAACCAAATCTCATATTGTCGAGTGTTATATGACCTCTGTACATTTCCCATGGTAGTGACATCTAACGTAAAGGTGTTTAATTTGCGTGCTTTTATACGATCAGCAGCTCTGTGGGTGATGTATGTAGTGTTGGAACCTCCATCACAGAAGATAGTGACTACCTTTCCCGTACCTGCTACTGGAACTTGTTGAATGGGGTAGAGTGCTAGACTTGACGAATCAGTAGCATTTGTGCCTGAGAGAATGCTAGCTTGGTTTACTGAAGTAGTGGTGGGTTTCTCTCTGTTGCGTTTTCTGCAAATCGATGGATGATGATTAGATTCATTGCAATGGGAACAAAGTTTTCCATTTGGACATTTCACCCTTTGATGGTCCCCAAAGCAAATGAAACATGCATTGGTTTGCATTAACTTTTCAACTCTTGCTGGTTGTTCGAGTTTCTGGAATTCTAAACAATCAGCTGTTACATGTGCAATATCACTTCTTTGATGAATTGCACAAGGATAGAAATTCTTCTGAGGTTTCAGAGCTTTTACTGTGACCTTGGTATGTGGTTCTAGTACGGTAACTGTTGACATGAGATTGTTCTTTACTGTAATCCCTTCTAGCTTTGTTTTGAGTCTCAGCTAGTCTGGATACGACTTCCCGCTCACGTTCGAGAAACTTCATGAATGGCACAAATGGCTTAACTTTATCAAAAGAACTTAAATCATGATATCTTCTAATCCATTCAAATTTTAGATGAGTCGGGAGTAAAGCTGCTGCTTGATCGACGTCTCTCATGGTTAGAGTTGCAAGTTGTCCTAATTCTTCCAGTTGACTGTAGGCAGCCTCTACTTCATCAATAAGTTCCACTAGGCCTTTAAAGTCATCTTCTTTCACTAGCTTTAACCTTTGTAGACTTTCAAGAGCAGCTTGGACGCTTGCACTGGAGTTATCATAGTATGCCTCCAATTTATGCCACATGATGTCATACGCTTCTGGTTTGGTAGCAAAGACTGATTTGATACGTTGAGCAGCTTCACCATGCACTGATCGTTTCAATTCATGGGCCAGAGTAATCCTGTTATAATAAGCTTTCTCTGCCAACTCCCGCCATACAGCTTTAAACTCTGGCCAATCTTTTCTCTTTCCAGAAAAGGTTGGTAAAGACAATCTTTTAAGTTTAATGTCTGAATTTGAACTGTTATTGGGACTGGTACGTCTTCCAAATTCTGAGTTAAAACCAGGTGAACTATATTCGGAATTGTGCACTTGGGGATTAGTATATGTGAAAGTAGATGCCGGAATTGTTCTACCAACATCGTAACTGGATGACAATGTGTGAACTGGAGCAGAGAACATAGGTGTTGAAACAGAAACTGAACTTGCCACAGATTGAAATGGTTGACTCGAAGAAATGCCGATTGGTGTAAGCTTATCTGTTGTTGAATGTTTTAGAAAGAGATACACTTTTCGTTTAATATTGTCAACAGCATCATTTACTTCATAATTTTCTTCTTGTTCTGGTTCAATTTGTGAAAAATATGCTCTGTAATTTTTGCATATTTTGATTAATCGTACTGAGAATGGATTCGAGTGCATCACTGTCGAATTGCAATGAGTGTACATCAGGTTGAGCAGAATCTAAGTTAATCTCTATCCTCCGAAACACACCAAGCTCTCACCATTAACTATTCTATGTTCAGACATTTCTTCAGTTGACACTCTATCAGAATAATTGTTGTCAACTTCAGTAAAGTCACTATAAGAATTCTCCAATTCTGACATTAAAATTGTTAAAACTTCCATATCAGGACTTCTTTGGCACGATGTTATTAGTCTCCTAGCACTGATTGTTACTGTTTGTTTTGCCTTACTTCGTGACTGTTTTAGTGTTTCGATATCCATTGTTGTAGATCAAAAAATTGTCTTTAAATAGATGCTTCCTGCGACTGGCACAGCTTTCAACTATTTTTCTACAATGTTTTCGAAACGTGATATCTTGATTGGAACACTGGACTGGAACACTGGACTGGTAACAATGGACTGGTAACCCTTCGTCTTAGTGTAAAAGTTTTACTGTATTGGGATGTGATCCCTGGACCGATGTATTCTTTAGAAGGGTAGTTTCAACTCAAGTTGATCATCAATATTCTTTATTGTTAAACAATCTTCAATCGTAATAAAAAACTTGGTAAAACCTTAAATAAACAAATAAGGTTTTCTTAACACATGAAACATATATAAAAGGTATTCAAAAGTTTAAACTAAAATCGTAACTATTCTCTACTGTACTATCTAACAATAAAAAGTCTTACTTACATCAAGACACATGAACTATACTAAAAGACTAATGCAATGAAACAAGGGGGAACAAAGGAAATAAAACACAATTTTGTTTTACAAAGGGGTAATTATGGCTTAGACTTACATCTGGATAATACATGAACTAAACAATAAGGTTAATCATATGCAAACTAAACAATAAGGCTAATGCACTGAAACGGGAGAAAATATATACATATAGCAATGTCCAAATACAAACAAAGGAAATATAACATGATTTGCCATAAAAAGAATAAAACATTGTGAATAAGACAATAAATGCAAAAGATAAAAAAGTGACACATTCTACAATAGTTCCATTACATATTAAAATACAAAAACTTACTTTTCCTTTTGAATACGGTCCTAAACTGACTACTATATTTTAAAACAGCACATGTTTGAAAACTGACTATGGAACTGACTATGGCATCATTCCTCTTAAACTAGGTCAAACTTTCCTTATTTCTGATTGGTGGAACATAAATAGAAACACTAATGCCAATAAGAAAACTGGAGTTGTGCACCTTGAATTTAAAGGTACTACAGAAGTAAAACATATAAAATGATAAATAATGTTTTGTTGAGAAAAATAATTGATGTGGCGAATATAATTAACAATAACTGTTTCATTGTTTATAGTAATGTCCCATATTAATCCAATACAGTTGTCTGTCCATTTTTTAATTCTAGTTCAAAATGGCATAATTCCTTTCCCATGACATACACTTTCTTATGCATATAAATCAGCCGCAAATTTAAAATAATACAAAACTATTTACCACTGGCGTGGTAAGCGTGGCAAATAGTCCGAAGTACCCCTACAGCTATTTACCACGGCGTGGTAACTTGTTAAATTAGGCCAATGTCACCATGTTAGTCTATGGAGACAAATTTTACCACGTTTTTTTCTTTGGTGGATTTCATCTAATTTTTTTTTTGCTACGGGCCATCTCGTATGTTGGATTAAAATGTAAACAAAATATTAGAAAGGAAAGAAACGAAATTGAAATTTGTTTGTCCCCGGAAGCCTGACTTTCAACATTTCTTGTGAATGTCTTAAGTAAAGATTTTAGGAAGAAAAATAAAAAGGCATTTCATTTTATTAGATATTCATTTTCATGCTTTAGCAGTTGTTGTGGTTGCAGCTGCAGATGTAGTAGCTTCCTCAGGTGTAGTTGTTTGAGCTGCAGATGATGTCGTTTCAGGCACTGAAGAAGTAATTTCTGCAACAGAGGTAGTGGTTTCAGTTACTGACGTAGTAGTGTCAACAACTGACGTAGTAGTTTCAGCTGCAGTAGTGGCAGTTCCAACAACAGTTGTTGTATCGACCATGGTAGTTGTGGTTTCAGACATTGTAGTGGGTGTTTCTGGGGCGGTTGTTGTAGCCACTACAGTGGTTGTTTCAATATCACTACCACATGTACCACAGAACACACACAAAACTGGATAATATTAACATTATGTTAAAAACATATCACTTTTATAAATTATTCAATTGTATAACAGTCAAAAAGCTCAAAAAGAAAAGTAAACCGTTTTTAGATTTCAATGAATATTAGATTAAAAATTCAATACCTGATATCGGTATATGCAAGGTATAATAAAGAGAAATATATTAATTAACATACATGGATCAGAGCAATATGGTGATATTCCTGATAGTGGTGCGGTTACAGGCGGTCCTGGCGGAGGTTGAGTTGTCGGTGGTGGTACTGCAGGGGGTGGTGGTGTTTTCGGCTCAAAACAAATTGAATTGACTGAAATGTTATAACATATATAGGTGATACTTATATTTATATAAGTAGGATCAGCTAGGTAGGTACCTATAAAGGTCGGACTGGCATCAGTATATAATAGCCTAGCATAGAATCCGAACGGTATGATGATATTACAAAATGAACTATATTGCTGAAGCCTCTAAACGAGCCCGACCGACTTCAACCAATTCGTTAGCTTTCATTATCATGTTTAAAGAAATCCAAACCAAAATGTATTCCAAATTTAAATTATTGTGAAAGGGGATAAACTGGTTGTTTAGACAATTTGGTCACTTTCGTGATAGATGATATTTTTCTACAACCTACCATTGCTAACGTATGAAATTATTTAGATTCTTTTTGAAGAAAAATACTTACATTCGCCATCGACACAATAAGTACCTCGTTTTGCTCGTGTTTCTGAAATTAAAAAACAGTTAAACTTCAGGTTCAATAGTTAGGCCTACTCCTGCTCATTGTTTTTTAAGGTGGACTCAAGACAAAAATCACTTCACTGTCTACATTGAAAATTGTTTTAGTAAAACTTGATAATAATAAGCAACAATTACAAATTTGTTTCATAATACCATCTGTAAGCGAAGGTGTTGTACGGCCTCCTAATAAACAGTCTAAGTCAATTCCTGCTGTTAATTGGTGTTCAAATGCCACCAGAACTAAGATAGCTTGGGTGGTTGAACTGGATGATAGAGGCTATCTATAGTCTAAATCTTATTTTTTGTTGGTTGTACAGCGACACCTGTCGTCATAATCATGACCTTCAAATATATTCGACATGTATTTGGAGAAATGTTTTGCACGATTTGTCGGGCGAAATTTATTATTGAACATTTATATTTGAACATTATTTTGATGGTCCAGTTTTGTGTATGACGTTTTGCATTTGATGATAATAGGTTGAGCTACATTTGTATAATTTGTTGATTTTATTTGAGGATATTTTCAGTATTTTTTTTTTTTTAGGATAGATTCTATCACCTAAATAATTGGAAAACCGAATGTTTATCAATGAATGTTCATTTTCGGTACAAATTATGATTTTTGTATACAAATGTAAATTTTTGATAACAAATGTTGAATTAAGCGTACAAATTAAGAGAAAAGAACTTAGAATTAAGAATTAAGAAAGAGCAATGAAGAAAATTGAACAAAAAGCCGCCTTCCACACTGAAAAAAAATCTTGTGTTGAAACAACACAAGTTAATACACAAGTGATGTGTCTATATTACACAACACAAACTTGTGTTGCTCGGTCTTCAACACAAGTCTTGTGTTAATCAACACAAGACTTGTGTTAAAACTTGTGTGGGAAAAACACACAAACTTGTGTTAGAATTGAACAAACTTGTGTGTTGTATACCCTCTCTTGTGTGTTGTTTTGAAATGCTAACTTGTGTTGATTTATAACACAAGGGTGTGTTAATATACTTGTTGCATACAAATCCTTGTGTTGTCTGTCCATTTTTTAATTCTAGTTCAAAATGGCATAATTCCTTTCCCATGACATACACTTTCTTATGAATATAAATCAGCCACAAATTGAAAATAATACAAAACTCAATTGATTCCACCATACTTTATTAAAACAATAACTTTTTAAAATCTACACTGTTTATGAATAATAAATGCCAGATACTACGGGGTTAATTTATGTCTTGAATATATGTAATCACATAATTCCTTTAAAAATATCTCAAACTGGGAATTTTACTCACTATTTCTATAATGTATCGATGGCTAAGAGCACAAATCGTATAAGTCCTTTTTTCTTGTTTTGAGATATTCGCATTTTAAAGTTTTAAACAATTCGTACCAGCACATATTTAGAGATAGATTCACAATATTTTGATAATACAATGCATATGGCATACTGTTATAGTTTCGCAAACAAAATTTTACTGAAATTGTTTTTTGAGGGGGTGGGGACACTTAATTGGACATATTCTGATTGTGTACTGAATAATTCGTAAAAACTGTGGACTTATCCCATTTTGTCTGCTCTATAACAGTGAATATTTCATGAAATCAAAGAGATTTAGTTTTTCATCTTCACCTAGAATTCAAAAAGGATATAGTTTCTGCTTTCTGCGATCAACAAAATTGCTAAATCTCTATCAGAAACAAAAAAAACAAGACCGAGTAATTCCATTTTTCTTCATTCATTTTATTGTTAACGTTGTAAAAGAGTAGACCATTTTAACAGTCAATTTGCTTATTTTTAAAGGTGATAATAATACTATGAAGTAAATGTAACATTTTTATTGCTTAAAGCACAAAAATTGATTAACAGAACATAATAGAACCAACCGAATTAAACAGTTCATCTCACAATAATTGTAATAGTATTGTCAGTCGGTATCATCATCATTATCAGTGACGTTTGTCAACCGTCTTGAAGATGGGAGATCAGAATAAAATTGATAGTAATTGGGTGGAATCACTCTTGATGACAGTAAACTCATAAGATCTGATTTCTTGGCATTGGAAATGGGCAACATTTTCGTATATGCTTTCGAAAGATTTATTTTTGAATTACCCTTTCCTGTATCAAGAGTGAGGAATTCTCTATCACTGATGTTATACTTATAATTGATTATTCCTGGGTTACTTTTGGTAAATCGCATCCACTTTATATGCATCCAATTAACTTTGTCTCCAGCTGTGTTTTTCGTCCTGTTTTTCCATGACATGAAATGCCAATTCTTTCATGTTATAAAAGTATGGATGTTGTACATGGTTAACTATATAAGGCCTTGGATTACGCCTTGCACCCCGAATCGCAGCCACCCATTCACTATCTGTGTATAAAGGCACATGTTTTGTGGCCCTTTCAATCACAGAGTGCATGGAGTCCACTTCCATATAACTGTGGCCGGATTCCATGAACTTTAAGTCAATGATTTCGAGCGTTTTTAAACTCTGAACTGCATAAAGCATGGCTGATGCGACATACTGATTTCGGTTTTGACCTGAACAGGTATCAGAAAATGAAGCAACATGGGTGACGCTATCTGGCAGATTTTGGAAATAATGCAAAAGTGATGTGCTTATTTCTGAGGAGCCTCGTTGCCCTTCACACTCATTCCAGAGATAGCACATTCCATCCGAAGAGTGGGCCTCATAAATTGTAAAATTATACACTGAGAGTTTTCGCTTATAGTAAATTTGTGCGTCTCCAGCATGTGGTAAATTCAGAACGGCCTGTAAATCAAATGATATTGAACGGAAGGATTTGTCTAATTTGGCTTGTTCTTTGTCATGCCTTTTTTCGTCTAAGGCCTCATTTTCACGCCTTTTATGCTCTTCCCAATCTGATTTAAGACTTTCTTTATCATCACCTACTGCATTATAATAGCCAGTGCATATGGAACATTGATCCTTTTTGGTCTGAGGAATCTCAAGTTGAAATCATTGAGAAAAACTTCTCTATACTTGCTGCTTGAGACTGGATCATTTATCGCCATTCTTGAACAAAAGTCGTTGACATAGAGATCATACATTTTACTGATGGTCAAATCACACTGACGGTAATGAGCCTTTGTCTGTTTCCGACAGTAGTGGGATTCAACAGGTTCAAAGGATGTGATGTGGGTCTTAACATTTGCGATCCTTTCAGGCTTGATCTTGTTCCCTGGTGTCTTTGCTGGTGTGCCATCATCGCCAGAAAAATTGCCAGAGGAATCAATGGATGTGATTGCTGTAGTGATTGCTGAATGGCCTATATTTAAAGTGCTCTGAAAAAACTTTTTACATACTCGATATTCGCTACAGTGTTTCACAAATGAGTATTCACATGATTTGTTCTTCTTGCTTTTGTTATGCCTACTACGATGTCGATGGACCTTTAAAACTTTCACACGTTTACATAAAAAATCTTTCTGTCTTGCATTATCAGCCAAAGCATAATATTCACCACAAATGCGTTTTCTTTCATCTTCATTAAACAACGTACTACACTTGAAACGACAGTTCAGACAGTTTACTGGCTTTGGTCCTTTTTGTGGTACCCGTTTGCCTCGACGGGTTACATATGACTCGCCTTTAACCCTCCTGCGATGTCGAACATTTCGTTGCCATTGAGACGGGTCCCGCTTTCTTTTCCTAGATCTTGGTGTTTCTTGATCACAGGGGCCAGCTATTGGAACCTCTTGCGGAACAAGATCACTTTGAAATGACACATGTTTTTCATCACTATCGCTATCAGAGGTTTCTGATTCTGGGATGTATGTCTCATCTGCTCTGTCATCAACATCATCATCTTGACAAGAAAAATCTTCATCTGATTTTGGATCTTCATTTTCATTAATCAGCTTAAGGCTTTCTACAATGACTTGATCTACCGATTTTGATTCAACTTCAACTTCATTCTGTATTTCATCAGGCCAGAACTGATCACTCCCAGTGGTACCATCATTTTGTGGAGTATTGTGAAGAGCTTATCCATGTCTACAATACAGAAAAAGAAATCTCATTGATTTCAGGCTATAACAAGGCTCTTCACATGTGACCTGGGTCATTTCACTTGCGACCTGACTTATGCTTATCAAAAAATCACCAGTGTGTATCAACAATGTGCCTTGACTTAAAATTTGATTTAAATTGTATAGAGTAATCGAAGAAGACTTATAATGACACAAAAAACACTAACCTTGTTTTTGTTTTCAAATTTAATGCACCAAAAACTTTTTCAACCATGTGCTTTTTGATGCGAAAATGGAATATGTCCACCAATAGAAATAAAAAAAGTTAAATATTTTGTGCACAAAGCGTATATGTCCGGACATAATCTATTTGTGCTTTAAGACATCAGACTTGTGGAGATAAACCAAATGGATTATTGGGATTATCTCCCCTTTTTAAAGGGATAAGGGTCAAACGAATATTATCATAAGATGCAGAATGATTTATTTTATACAATTGTTATAAAAAGTGAAAAATCACCAAAATGGACTTATACGGTCTGTGCTCTGAGCCATCGGTATGTCTTATATCAAAGAGCATCTTAAAATGACTTGTCGGCATTTTAACATTCAAACGCGGATAATTCTGGACACACATAGATTTGAAGGCTCAAATTTCGACGGTGAACTAAAGTATAAGTAGCCTATGATTGGTCAAAAAGAAATGGCGTGTGTTGTTTACGTTCTGTTCAAAAAATTCTAAGTGCAGTGCCTTCCTGAAAAATACGAAAGATGATTTGAATTAGTTATGAAGTAAATAAAAGAGGGGCATAATTGCTTGTTAGCCAATAGATAAATAATATTGTTTGAATAGTCAATTCGCTTCCATAAGTTTTCATCTTGTCAGTTCAGTCATATTATTTTTATTAAGAAGGGAAAAGTCGGCATTTTAGTTGTTGAATATTTATGTAAATAGACCCCAGAAGTACCAGAACTGCACGAAAGTCGCATAATCCCAGATCGTAAAATTATTAAATGCGGATAATTAGGCTATGGATGCACGTGGGTTTGAAGGCTCAAATTTCGACAGTGAACTGTGAACACTATTGCTGATTAGAAGAATTACAAGACTTTTTGTTTCTGAGTTATGGTGAACGCGCCCCTTTAACAAATTTACACTTACCGGAACTTCTACATGGTACTTCATAGCATCAGCTTCGCTTAGCTTCGGGCCTGTATTTTCATCGTTCACAATGTCAAGCCGACGAACTCCAATAACCACTTTTTTGTATCACGGAAGTTTGTATATGCAGCAATTAGATTGAATTGTACGTTAACATCCTAATTATACAGGCTTTCGGTCGAGGGCGCTGATCAAACTGAAGTAAGTGTAGCGGCGGGGTAAAGATATAAGGAAAAATAGCATATTTCAGGAGTTAGTAAAATTCTATTTTTTCTTTCCTAAATTCATAAAATTACTCACCTGAAATTGCAGCTGATGAAGAAAGTGTTGATAAAATTGATAGACCAAGCAAAACCCTGGAGCTGAAGATGTTTGACGTGTTCATCTTGGTCAAGAAAATGATAATTTGAAATTCTTTCTTCCAATTTTTAATGAGGAGAGGATAACATATGGCCATAATTAAACATAGTAGGCCTAAACGACCGACTTTTTTTAATGACCATTAAGGCAGGTACACACGAAGAGATAAACCTTATGGGATTAATTGTATGCATAGCCTATGTTCCATGACATAATAATACAAAGCCTACAGTCCTTTCGATTCGTTGCTCACAACGGGGTCTTGGTCATGTGTCTTTTAGTCCAACGTTAAAAAGGCGTGAAGGCTAAAGGAAAATCAGAGGTTAGTCGAAATAACTTTTACGATTTTCTGATGTTAAGATGCCATTTTTGAATACGGAAATTAAGGGCGTACGATGAACACTATATTTGATTTTATTTCAAAGCTGTATCATTTGTTTCCCTTTTTTGGGTGTCAAATGTATTAAGCACAATCGTAGATTTAGAAGAATTTGTCATTTTGTTTAAATTGGACGAGACGAAGAGTCTTAACCCTGTGGTCCGATTAGATTTTCTGTAAGCTGAATGTACCTGAATAGCTAATAAGATTGCGTTTAAATGAAGCTTACCTATATTTCTTTACTTTTACACGCTAAAATACTGGAAATGGTGATATCAAAAGAGCACTTGCTGCAATAAATAATGTTGGGTTGAATGCCATTCCACGTTATTGTAAAAAGTTTTTATTATCAAAAATGTTATACCTGAATATGCTATTTATATATATGTATCTTCGTGATCAAACTTGTTTTAAACTTAAAAGGGTTCATTAAAAACGGAGATTACTAATTGTTAATTAAGAAGTTTGACCTATTTTTGGTGTTTGGCTTTATAATTGTAATTCGATATTATAAGTCGAAACCTTTAAATTACGTAGAAGACATGTTTCTCTACAAGTAGGCATTTATTTCTTAAATTCGTACACTTCTAACAGCTTCCAAAAATCATACGAACTTTAAAAGTTTACGTAAACTTACGTTACAAAAACTTTCAGATAGGCGCAAAATAATTTTTCGACCTACAAGAAAAATAGTTGACCACAGCCATATACGCCCACCACGGCATGCGGATGGTAAATATTCAAGATTTTGGGGCAAGGGCATTAACTCTGCTTCTAACGGCCGAAAATAGCTCAAATTAGAACTTGATCTTCGTTGAACTTGAATATGTATACACATACCGAATTTCATTTGATTCCATCAAAAAAATCTAGTTTTTAGAGCGTTTACAAGCAAATGTTGACGGACGGACCGGCAGGGGTGCCGACAATATACGTCCACATAGAGCGAATAAAAAAGCGAATTCCCCTTTCACATTCCTAATGCTACTTTAAAACGGCATAAGGATGGGTCTAACAAGTTTGCAAACGAAAACGTAAAGAAACTTTAAAGAGGAAGAACTATCTCATGCTAGATGGTTTTGTTTGTGACCGATGTGTCCCTATTGGATAATATATATGAACTATTCAAATGGGCGTTATTTATATCCAATTTTGATTGCTTTCGTAAATGGTTCTTGTCCCCATACCCACCACCCTCGGCCTTACCGACCCTCTACCTCTGACGATGGCCTATAAAGCAAAAGAAAAATTCTTATAATTTGATGTTAGCCTACTTGTTATGCAATTTTGTCCAACTACATTGAAGTTACATTTTGCTCTGATTTTGGAATATTATTTAACTATTTTGGGGGGATATATGCTACAGTCCACACCCTGGTCCAATTTATCATCCATGTTGCATTTAAACTCACAAAATTTGGTTTTCGGGAAAGTTACAACCATGTGCAGCTTATAAGCATTGCAGATTTGCAACAAGCAATCGGACTTTTAAATCCTTAGGTGGTCCAATTTACCCACCTTTCCCTTATGTGTTGTTTCTAAATAGAATATTAATAGCAATATAGCCCAGTTCGCCCCTTCCTTTTTAATTGATACAATTATGCTTGTTCCAAGTTTAATTCCGATCCTGTGTCCATTTTATTTTGGTTCTATGGTTTTGCAAATTTGATATAGAGTAGACTGGAATGGTAAAACTTCCAAACAACAAAAGATAGCTTGTCAAGCAAGGTAGGATACGCCCACTGTAAGATTTTAAATAAAAATATTTGGCAGTACAGTAACAATTACCAGTATGAAATATTCAACCTTCAGTCTTAGGCCTACACTTCTTTTGAACTTTTTGTGGCGATACTATTATTATTACCAAGTTTCCTCGAAGTTCGTCAAGAATTATGCCTTCATATAGTATGTTTACGAGATAAAAATTGAACGCGTTTTCAAGAACAAGGACAATAACTCATACTTACGGTGGCTCACATACGACATTTTCCCCTTTTTATTCAGCATCAAAAACTTTTTTTACTTGGTGAAAATTTAATTTCCTGTAATTTTTAATTAAAAACTTTAATTTTCACCTAGTTGATAATTATTTTCACCTAGGTGAAAATTAGGTGATAATTCGTTTAATTTTTAATTAAAAACTTTAATTTGCACCTAGGTGAAAATAATTTTCACGAATGTGATAATTGAAGAATTTTGAATTAAAAACTTTTTTTTACAAGATTCGTTGAATTATCACCTAGGTGGAAATCATTTTCACCTTGGTGAAAATTAATGTTTTTAATTAAAAATTACACGAATTATCACCTAATTTTCACCCAGGTGAAAATAAATATTACCTGGGTGAAAATTAAAGTTTTTAATTCAAAATTAAACGAATTATTACCTAATTTTCACCTTGGTGAAAATAATTATCACCCAGGTGAAAATTTAAGTTTTTAATTAAAAATTAATGTTTTTAATTCAAAATTAATGTTTTTAATTCAAAATTAAAAGTGAAATATGTCGTATGTGAGCCACCATACATACTAAATATTTTTCTATTTTTCTGATTTTCGATAGGGTTCATCCTTGGGTGATAACAAACATTCATACCAAGTTTCGTCAGAATCAGTCAAGAATTGTGCCATCTAGAGTGTTGAAGAGTAGATGGGTGCGGGCGTAAAAAAACGCATCTTAGGACTTTCAGAAAATCCCCATTTAACGGCTAATTTGTTCTTACTCTACTCCGGTCGAAAACTGTCATAATATGCGCAGAGGCCCGAAAAGGGACAGATGTTTAGGACTAGGGCTTACCCATAGACATAATAGAAATATAGTTAAACTCTATGGTCTTACCCTACATCGATTAGGCCTACCCTGCTCGAGAAAAACCCTATAATCAGCTGCAAAAACTAACACTTTAGTGAAAACAAATAAAAGCCTTAGTTTTTTTTTCAATTTACTGATTTTGTGTGATTGTAAATAGGCTACGTGCAGTCCCGCAGGTTAATTCTTGTGCGAGTCTAAAGAATAGTCAACCATTTTATCTGCTGATTTGTGTCCACCAATAAAATTCAATAATGTGCTAGATCAGTCCATGAATGATATCAGCTGTTCATTAGCGTACCACGGGTGAGCCAAGATCAGTTGTTACTAACATCGAATTGTTATCCAGCAAAGATTAAGAAAGTGAGTACGTATTTAACAATCACGACTTCCACAACCTTAGTCTGAATCGTCCACTATAATATTCAAGTTTGTATTCATAATTTCATTTACGGTAGTCCTATAGGCTAATGTAACTTTTGACGGTACAGCACATATTAAAATATTCGTCTGCTGCGTAGGAATATCGCTTTTTCACGATATAGCATTCTTTTTCATTATATAAGTTTTTATTTTTTGGATATGGTGAATAAAATAGAAATGAAAAAACGAAACTATAAATGGTGTTTCTTATTATTTCAGATCGTCAAAATCGGGCACTGAAAACATTATTTTTCGAAATCGCATAGACTTCCGGTGGTGTTGTTAGGATTTGATAGCGTGAAAATTATCGTACGATAGAAGAAAGAATAACAGCTGATATTTATGATTTGTGACTTGGTGTTTAAGTTTAGTGACAGTTCTTTCAAAGAAAATGTGGAATTGGTTAAAGGAAACCGTATTGGGCAGTAGTTTTACTAGTTTTCAAGATGCGAGTACTTTATTACTTATTTCAATTCTTGTGATTATGATAGTAGTTTTATTACAAAGAAAACTGACTTCTACCTCTGTAGACGAAGGGAACTTACCACCACAAATACCCTCAACCATCCCATTTCTTGGGGAAGCAGTAAATTTTAACCAAAATCCAATTGAGTATTTATTGGCAGCATATAAAAAACATGGGCCGGTGTTTACATTTACAATGGTTGGAAAAACTTTCACCTATTTAATTGGATCAGAATCTTCTGCTTTGTTTTTTAATAGTAAAAATGAAGATCTAAATGCAGAAGATGTCTATAGTCGTCTGACAACACCTGTTTTTGGGAAAGGTGTTGCTTATGATTGCCCTAATCCATTATTTCTAGAGCAGAAGAAGATTTTGAAGTCTGGTTTGAATATCGCACAGTTTAAAGAACACATTCCTTTAATAATTGAAGAGGCTAATCAATACTTTGAGAGATGGGGGGATAATGGGACTACTGACTTATTCAAGGCCTTGTCTGAACTTATAATTCTTACGGCAAGTCGTTGTCTACATGGTAAGGAAATCAGATCCAAACTTGATGAAAGTGTTGCACAATTGTATGCAGATCTTGATGGAGGATTTACACACCTTGCATGGTTATTACCAGGATGGTTGCCGTTGCCCAGTTTCAGAAAACGAGATAGAGCTCATCTAGAAATGAAAAAGATATTTCATGAGGTTATTCGAAATCGTCGAAAGAATGGAAATGAGGATGAAGAAGATATGTTACATGCGTTAATAACATCTACATATAAAGACGGACGTCCACTAACTGATGATGAAATTTCTGGCATGTTAATTGGTTTATTGTTGGCTGGTCAACATACTTCATCAACAACAAGTGCCTGGATGGGTTTTTTCATCTCAAAACATCAAGAGATTCAAGATAAACTGTATGAAGAACAAAAGAAAGTATGTGGAAGTGGTGACATAGACCTAATCACCTATCAAGATTTGAAGGATTGTCAACTACTGGACAGATGTTTAAAAGAATCATTACGCTTACGACCACCAATCATGACCATGATGAGGATGTGTAGAAGCCCTCAAAAAGTTTGTGGTTATACAATACCAGTTGGTCATCAAATTTGTGTCTCTCCACCAACAAATCAGAGATTGGAGGATACATGGACTAATGCGACTGTATATAATCCTGACCGCTTTTTAGACCCTGATGTAGCTAACAGTGAAAAGTTTGCTTACGTGCCTTTTGGTGCTGGCCGCCACAGATGTATTGGTGAATCATTTGCCTATATTCAGATAAAAACGTTATGGTCAGTTATGTTAAGAAAATATAAATTTGAGCTGGTTGATGGTTATTTCCCTGAAATTGACTACTCTACCATGATTCATACTCCAAAAAATCCTGTCATCAAATATTCTCTCAGAAAATGATCTTAAATTGTGCCATATCTAAACATATGTCTTTGTGGTAAATCTATTGTTGGATTTGATATGGTCTTACCTTGAACACAGTTCTTTTTGTGGTGATCCAAGCTTGCTGAAATATCTCTTTGCCAAATGTTGAATATCATATCTAAATTTTTTGAAAAAAATGAGACAAGCTCAAATATAAACAATATTAAGAAATTTTATCATTGATAATAAAAAAGATGTTGGAACCACTTGTCAAGTAAAAACACTGGAGTATGAAATTAGCTATCATGTGTATATGTTAAGAAACTTTTAAAAGTTTTTTTGTTAACTTCCAAAGCCAAACTAATAATAATGCTGTTGTCTGGCCTATTTAGTCATTGTATCTTTATATACTGTTAAAAATATTTTGTTTGTTTTAAAAAAAATCTGTTTTATATGTTCAACTGAGCTACAGGGCCGTATCCAGATAAGCATTTTGTCCCTTGTCATGGAAAATTATGATGGGCGAAATTTAAAAAGTCCTGTGTAAATAGCTATATTCAGGTGCAAGATATATGTCTAAAGAAAGGACTAGTATTGTCCAGTTTTGTGCCGTCCTGCCTACAGCTTTGCGATGGATAGGAAAATGAGCACCAAAGATTCAAATAATCACAAGTCTGCACTCTACTGTTATTGTATTTTCATTTGTTAAAAGAATGATTTAGATTAGTTCCATATTGTCGATAACTGTCTTTCAGCTACTGCCTTGAATTATTCAAATTCCAAATCTGCTTATGGGTTGAATTCATAAAACTCAGCATTTGCTTTTCTGGGCTTTTCCTCAATTTAGCATTCATAAAACTTAAGAATTGTTTCCTTGACAATAGCAAAAGCTAGATATTTATCCTTGCGAGAAACAGTCTCCAGTTTGCGTTTACCCTGCCACTTCAAATTTGAGTCAGTCCAGGATCATTATATATTATGATCAAACCAAGATTCATTCAAATCAAATGAAAACTGTAGTCTCTATTGCGGTCACAAATTTGGATGCCTTTCTACTAAGGGCGATAATTCAAACATTGTTCTTCGAAAAATTGTCAAATTCGAACTTGACCAATGAATATGAATCATCACAACAAATTTCATTCAAATCGAATGAAAACTGTAGTCTCTATTGCGCTCACGTGAAATGTCGATAGACCGATGGACAGGGGCAATGGCAATATACGTCCACGTTTCAATGTGGGCGTATAAAAAAACAATTCCGACGTAAAGTTGCAGCCATTCTGACAGGCACGGTCGATCCCTAAAAAAATATACCAACCTTCAATACTTGTCATTAGTTATTCGTAGGATTCTAATTTAATTGATTTCTTACGGTGGCTCATGTACGTACGGAAGCGTATTATGGCCATTCAATTTTTTTATTTTTTTATTTTCAAGTTAGTATGTTGAATTTAGTAACTTGAATTCTCAAGTGAGTATGTTGAATTTTCAACCTAGTATGTTGAATTTTCAAGTTAGTATCTTGAATTTTCAAGTTAGTATCTTGAATTTTCAAGCTAGTATCTTGAATTTAGTAACTTGAATTTTCAAGTTAGTATCTTAAATTTTCAAGTTTGTATCTTGAATTTTCAAGTTAGTATCTCGAATTTTCAAGTTACTAACTTGAAAATTCAACATACTAACTTGAAAATTCAAAAAAAAAAAAAAAAAAATGAATGGCCCTAATACGCTTCCGTACGTACGACATTTTCCACTTTTTATTTTCAATTAAAAACTTTAATTTTCACCTAGGTGAAACTGTAACTGAACGGTACTTCTGAACTAAAAACTTTTTACCTAGGTGATAATTGGTGTAATTTTTAATTAAAAAATTTAATTTTCACCTCGGTGAAAATAATTTTCACCAAAGTGATAATTGAAGAATTTTGAATTAAAAACTTTTTTTTACAAGATTTGTTGAATTATCACCTAGGTGGAAATTATTTTCACCAAGGTGGAAATTAAAGTTTTTAATTAAAAATTACACGAATTATCACCTAATTTTCAGCTAGGTGAAAATTAAAGTTTTAAATTAAAAATTATAGATAAAAATAATATATATAAGATAAGAATAAAATAATTATCACCTGGGTGAAAATTAAAGTTTTTAAATTCAAAATTACAGGAATTATCACCTAAATTTTCACCTAGATGAAAATAATTATCACCCAGGTGAAAATTTAAGTTTTTAATTCAACATTAACTTTCACCTAGGTGATAATTAATTTTTATTGGTGTTGCCTTTGACTTAGTAAAAACGTGTCAAATTTTCCATGTAGGCACAATATAGAGACAAAAGTTTTTATCCGATCTTCATGAAACTTGGTATGCATGTATGTATTGATGAGTTCTCAGTCAAGTTCGAAAACGGTAATAATCAGATGAACTGTTTCAGAGTTATTGCCTGGACTTAGTAAAACGCGTCAAATTTGTCTTGTAGGCACGATAGAGACTACAGTTTTTATCTGATTTTGATGAAACTTGGTATGCATTTATATATTGGTGAGATCTCGGTCAGGTTCGTAATTGGTAATAATCTGATGAAGGGTTTCGGAGTCATTGCCCTTGACTTAGTAAAAACGTGTAAAATTTGCACGAAAAAGACACCAGTTTTTATCCAATATTGATGAAACTAGATATGTATGTATTATTGAGATCTCTGTCAAGTTAGAAATTGGTAATATTCAATGAACCGTTTCAGAGTTATTGCCCTTGTGTTTTTAGCTATGAGACATTGTTCATGTTTGAATTTGATGATAATTTGATGAACTGTTTCAGGTTTTTGCATTGACTTGACTTCAATTAATATAGAAAGAAATTTTGCCAAAGATGTTGATTTCGACAAAGTTATTCAGACGTTTGTATTAATAAAAAAAGAAAAAAGAAAGCTATATATGACTAAAGTTGATGACCATGATAATTGAAACTATAAACACATTTCAAGATAAAAAAAAAAAACATAAATGTAAATATCCATTAGCTAGAAATCTCGTCCAAAGTCGGGCGGAAACGTAAATGTTTGGTGATTTGCCGTTGGCCTGGTAGGCCTACTTAGATATATCTATGGTTATAACACTCGATTTGCTTATGCGTCTGTCTACCCGAAGTTGCAGACTGGGTATCAATGACAATCCATTGCAAAATTTTAGACGCAACTGCTTCTAAAAACTCTCTTTTCTTGAAAATTAGAAAAGGTCTCATAGCCTTGACCCTGAAACAAAACAAATATGTTGAAAAGTTGAAAATTTTATATAGAGGTGGGTGTGATCAGCACCAAAGATTTAGGATGACCATGACATCGTGTTCTGTAGGTAAATAATGAAACTTTGTAGTATAATACAATATCTACTAAGATGCAATGCCACTTGGGCGTACAATTTCAAACAATAAAGAAAGGCAAATGAAATGAACTCAAACTGTTGCATAAGCGAAAATTTTCATAATACACCAAGGTTATGCCCTTCATTTTTTACTATTTTGTCTTCAAAAAAAAAAAACATGAATGAATAGTAGATGTAAAGTAAGTACGGTAAGAGACACAAAAAGGCCTAGGCTACACAACTAAAACTTGAGGCTAGAACTTGGTAGAACAACATTTCTCTAGAGGCTCTGGCCAGTTATAAGGAATAATGGTTGTAACATTGAATTGTATCGAAAACAATGTGACGAAAGCACAGGAACAGGAGGTATAAGTTTATAGTTCTAGAAAATAAACAAAATATTGTGTTGATAAATAGCCTATTACTTTCAAATCTCACTTTTAGACTTGCTTTTCCATGTCAGCCCCTCTTACCTGCATAACTGACAGGGGGAAACCGGGTTGAAAAATCCGAAGGTATTATCTCCACCTATGCCGGGATTGAACCCTGGACCTTCAGGCTAGCGAGCAAGCAACTAACTCACTAAGCCACCGCGGCTCCAGGAAACTGGCTACTAATGTACTGGTTTGTAAACTGTCAGGCCATTGAACAATTCTGCACTGTGCAAATTGTGTTGACTATAAGCTTAATTATAAGCAATGAAATGTTAATATAATATAATGTAAAAATATTTTATTTTTGTCAGGATGAGGAATAAAAGAACAACATTAGTTTAGATGTTAAATTGTCCACATGACTTTGAAAACTAATATGGCAACAAAATTGCTACTATTGTGTCTAAAAAAGACTGTTCCAGTTAAATGTAATGTTTCTAACAGGAAACTATCAATGAATAAGATAGACACCAGTGAATTATTTGCAAAGGATAGAACAATTATTTCTAAGCTTTTTTTCTCCACTGTTGATAATGTAAAAAAGAAACCGAGAAAGATGTTACGAGGTTTGGGAAGTTTATTTGTGTTCACTGGAGCTGCTGTTGGTATAAGTTATTTATTACAATCAGAACAAGAAAGAAGAAAAATTAGAGTAGCTGTTGGTGGTTTTAAAAGATTTTTTAGGTAAACTTTTAACTGTTATGAATATTCATTTAATTGTGTATATCAGTGGTTCCCAAACCCTTTTCAGCCTTCACACCCCTGGAGTAATCATTCGAACCCCTCACACCCCCAAAACAATGCACATTCAAAACATAGTAAATTTTATAATTTTTATTCAAACTTATTATAATAATCACACATGATATATAATCATGTGGTCGCATTAAGATGCTCAGTTGGATGATCAGTGCTACCCCCAACTCTCCAGTCCCACACCCCAAGGGAGTAAAAACACCCCAGGTTAGGAACTAGGGCTGATTCAAGAAACATCTCTTTGTAAAAATACTTTCCACTGAACTGACAATTTACCTTTATCTCGCCGAGAGAATTGAAATAATTTTGCGAGGTGACTGTTATTTTTTTCATTTTTCAGATCATTGAAGATTGGATCATTGATATCTTTAGATTATAAATGGAATTTATATAATTTAGAAGAAGATGGAGAGGAATATAATATAGCTATTAAAGGATGTCATCAAAGAGCTGCAAATCGTATTTTAGATGGTTGTTTAAAAAATGGTGGTTTATATATCAAATTAGGACAAGGGCTGGTATCAATGAATCATATATTACCAAGTGAATATATCAATACATTAGTACAGTTACAAGATAAAGCTTTAAAACGAGGTCCGCATGAGGTAACCACATCATTTATCTACTTTTATGCTCCTTCTTTACAAAAAAGATTCTTTTTTATACGCCAACATGAAATGGGGGGCGTATATTGCCGTCATCCATTTCCGTCATCCATTTCCGTCGGTTCGTCCGTCCACAATTGCTCGTAAACACTCTACAAGGCTCAATTCTTGACTGATTTCAACGAAACTTAGTATGGTTGTTTGTTATCACCCAAGGATGAACCCTATTGAAAATCAGACGAATCGAAAAAATATTTACTATGAGTTATTGCCCTTGTTCTTGAAACGCTCGTAAACACTCTAGAAGGCACAATTTTTGATGGATTTTGACGAAACTTGGTGTGAGTGTTTGTAATCGACCAAGGATAAACCCTATCGAAAATCAAAAAAATTTAAACATATTTAGTATTAGTTATTGCCCTTGTTCTTGAAAACACGTTCAATTTTTAGTTCGTAAACACTCTAAAAGGCACAATTCTTGACGGGTTTTGACGAAACTTGGCATGAGTGTTGGTTATCACCCATGGATAAACCGTATTGAAAAACAGAAAAATTGAAAAATATTTAGTATGAGTTATTGCCCTTGTTCTTGAAAACGCGTTAAAATTTTAGCTTGTAAACACTCTAGAAGGGACAATTCTTGACGGATTTTGACGGAACTTGGCTTGAGTGTTTGTTATCATCCAAGGATAAAGCCTATTGAAAATCAGAAAAATAAAAAAATATTTAGTATGAGTTATTGCCCTTGCTCTTGAAAACTCGTTCAATTTGTAGCTCATAAAAACTCTAGAAGGCATGATTCTTGCCAAATTTTGACAAAACTTGGTTTTATTATTCATTACCGCGCTGAAGATTGAATATTTGTCTTCTAGAGCTTTCATGAGCTAAAGATTGAACACGTTTTCAAGAACAAGGGCAATAACTCATACCCAATATTATTCAGTATTGCCTAAATAGTTCAAAAGAAGTGTATGACTGAAGGTTGAATATTTCATACTGGTGATTGTTACTGTACTGCTAAACATTTATGTTCAAAATCAAAGCTGCCAGTGGGCGTATATTACCTTGCCTGGCAAGCTATCTTTCTTAGATTAAGCGATCTGGTTTCGTCTTGTCAGTTTTATATATGAAATTGGGGGCGTATAATGGCGTCACCCATGTCCGTCGGTCCGTACGGGCGTACGTCGGTCCGTCCACAATTGCTCGTAAACATTCTACAAGACACAATTCTTGACGGATTTTGACAAAACTTGGGATGAGTGTTCGTAATCACCCAAGAATGAACCCTATTGAAAATCAGAAGAATCGAAAAATATTTAGTATGAGTTATTGCCCTTGTTCTTGAAAACGCGTTCAATTTTGAGCTCGTAAACACTCTAGAATGGACAATTCTTGATGGATTTTGATGAAACTTGGCATGAGTGTTTGTTATCAACCAAGGATAAACCCTATTGAAAATCAGAAGAATCGAAAAATATTTAGTATGAGTTATTGCCCTTGTTCTTGAAAACGTTTCAATTTTTAGCTTGTAAACACTCTAGAAGGAACAATTCTTGACGGATTTTGATGAAACTTGATGTGAGTGTTCGTAATTACCCAAGGATGAACCCTATTGAAAATCAGAAGAATCGAAAAATATTTAGTATGAGTTATTGCCCTTGTTTTTAAAACGCGTTCAATTTTTAGCTTGTATACACTCTAGAAGGGACAATTCTTGATGGATTTTGACAAAACTTGGTTTTATTATTCAGTCCAGCGCTGAAGATTGAATATTTGTCTTCTACCAAGGATAAACCCTATTGAAAATCAGGAGAATTGAAAAATATTTAGTATAAGTTATTGCCCTTGTTCTTGAAAACGTTTCAATTTTTAGCTCGTAAACACTCTAGAAGGAACAATTCTTGCCAGATTTTGACGAAACTTGGTGTGAGTGTTCGTAATCACCCAAGGATGAACCTTATTGAAAATCAGAAGAATAGAAAAGTATTTAGTATGAGTTATTGCCCTTGTTCTGGAAAACGCGTTTAATTTTTAGCTTGTAAACACTCTAGAAGGGACAATTCTTGACAGATGTTGACAAAACTTGGTTTTATTATTCAGTCCCGCGCTGAAGATTGAATATTTGTCTTCTAGAGTTTTCACGAGCTAAAGATTGAACACGTTTTCAAGAACAAGGGCAATAACTCATACTCAATATTATTCAGTATCACCCTAAAGAGTTCAAAAGAAGTGTATGACTGAAGGTTGAATAGATATTTTTATTCAAAATCAAAGCTACCAGTGGGCGTATATTACCTTGCCTGGCAAGCTATCTTTATTTCTAAAATCAAACATTTTCTTTTAGTCTAATGGTTTTATATTTTGGGTTTTCAAAGAAAAATATCACTATTTTTGTTTCATTTCAAGGTAGAGGAACTATTTTTAGAAGATTTTGGAAAATTACCATTAGAGGTATTTAAAGAATTTGATGCAGTTCCTATAGCAGCTGCTAGTTTAGCTCAAGTTCATAAAGCTGTTACAAAGGAGGGAGACAGGGTGGCTGTAAAGGTATGTTTGTATTCTGATCATATATTGTGTTTGTGGTTGGTTTGTCAAATGATATTTGGTAGAATAATTTTATTAGTGAATTTTATTCTATTGTTTTCAGGTTCAGTATATAGATTTACGTGATAGATTTGCTGGTGATATTAAAACTTGTGAAATACTATTGAAGATGGTAGGATGGGTTCACCCTAAATTTGGCTTTGCTTGGGTCCTGCAGGTTAGTTGCCTCTATCTTTATTAAAATGCTTGTCCATTTTACTTGTCAACTCGTAGTCTTCAGTCTTATAACTGAGAGAAATTTAAATTTTATCTAATGTTTTATAATCATCTAATTTGTTGTTCTGATACAAATATCATAGAAATTATTTCATTACAGGACTTGAAGCATACTTTAGCTCAGGAATTAGATTTTGAAAATGAGGGTCAAAATGGTGAAAAATGTGCCAAAGATTTAAGTCACCTATCTTATATTTATGTTCCTAAGATATACTGGGATAAAACAACTAAGGTAAGAAATTTATTCAAAGCCAGATGAAAAACCATAGAAAATTGATCTATAGAGCACAGTGAAAATATTTTATTATTGTAATTAGAAAATGAACTTATTTTTTTAACCAATTCATTTCTTAAAAGATTTGGATATATATGTCTATGCCTTTTTATCCAGTTTTCAAGATTGTTGTGAGAGATTTCAACCAAAAATAGCCAATATTCTAGTGTGTTGATGGGATTTTGATGAAGCATTTATTCTGATGTTATATTGTTCGTAACATGCATTCTTTTACTAATTGTTCTTAAATACAAAGCTTACCTTACCCTACACAAACCTACAGTCTGGAATATATATATTATTTATATTACAGAGAGTTTTAACGACTCAGTTTATAGATGGATGTAAAATAAGTGATAAGCTATCTATCAGTAAAATGGGGCTTTCTTTAAAAGATGTAAGTCAATGATTTTTCCTAGTTTTTGCAGTTTTTATACCGCCCACATGAAAATTCATACTTTAGTCACTAAAGACTGTTTTATCATTTCTGACAGCTGTCAGTGGGCATATGTTACCTTGCCTGGCAAGCTATCTTTCTAAATAGAGGTCTTCTTTTAGGGTCAGCCTTTTAACACCTTTCAAAAAAATGTCCTTGTACGTAACAAAAAAAAACTTGGTACAAACAATATTGTGATAACTAAGTTGAAACTTTTAATCAAAATTATGTTATTTATAACAATTTCATGCCCTTTACTTTCAATTTTTACTGAGTCATCAACTTCAAAGAATGCCATGCTGTTCTCTTTACAGTGCATGAATATATGACCTAATTTGCATAGTAATTAACCTGTGCTATGAGTTTATATCGTTTTTATGAACCAGTGTTATGTACGAGAGAACAGAACTGTTGTGTGATAAAAAAGATATATGTATGTAATAACAATATCAAATGTTTTAATATTTTACAGATAGATTATAAGTTAGTCAAATGTTTCTCTGATCAGATATTTCTCTCAGGTTTTGTCCATGCTGATCCACATCCTGGAAATAGTAAGTTAATTTAATTTAATTAAATAATTATATTTTTAATTTACTATTTCTAATTCTGTATCTATATAATTCTTGGGAAAGGCAAGATTTATTTTTTTATTTGATACAGGAAGTTTTTGAAAGGACTCATATTATAGTTTAATTATTTGTTTTTTATAGTATTTATAAGAAAAAATAAAAGTGGAAAAGCTGAGCTAGTTTTATTAGATCATGGTTTATATGATAAATTATCACCAAAACATCGTCATGCATTAAGTAGTTTATATAAAGCCATCGTTTTAAATGATGAGAACAAAATGGAGAAATTTTCTCATGAACTTGGTGTTGAAGGTTAGTAAACATGTTTCACAAAAAACAAAATAGTCAGATTCAGATTCCTGCTTCACTGGTGCTTTAAAACAACCTTTTGTTTGTTACAGCAGAAATTTAGATTATCTCTATTTATTTTTTTCAAATGTTGCATTATGGAAGTGATTGGTATAAGTTTTGACTTTGCACAAACACTATTTTGATTGCAAGTACATGTAATATGCTTGCTATTGTTTGGTTAAGAATGATTTTATTGACCATCGTATACTAACATATTTATAATAAAAGATAGATCTGAGATTTAGATTGTAAATATAAAAATCTTCTTAATTCAGTGTTATCATTTTTATTTCAGATTATCATATATTTTGTATCATTTTAAAAGAAAGAAATGTTAAACTAAAAAATAAACGTTTGTTTCGAACTAAGCCAGTAACTAGGAAGGAATGGAAGAATTTAAGTCCTGAAAGGAAGGAAGATCTAAGAGAAGAATTTAAACTGATTCACAATAGAGTTTTAACTGTATTTAAAACAATGCCAACTGCACTAATCTTTATCTTTAGGTATTAGAAGATTTTGTACATATACTTATAATTAACAATTTTATATTGTAGAGTCAAGTGTTTCGGTAATTCAGACAGTAAAACATAAACATCCATCAAACAACAAATCAAAATGCCTTTTTAGATTAATTGGAATTAATTGGAATTAAATGCAAAATGCCATATAAAAAACCTTTCAAATTACTTTAGATTATAACAAACTGCGCTTTATTTGGTGTTGATCAGATGGTGAGTTCTGCTAGTTCGTGATTCATAGAATCAAAAAAATAGTAGGTGTTTTCAAATTTAAAAAGGCAGAGAAAGGAATAGATAAGAAAATTTTGTATGTGACATAATATTCGCTTCCGTAATGATCCATTGGGTCCAGAACGGAACCTGTTCAGAACTCTCCAATTGAGCACCATCATAGTCTGGCTTTCAGAATGAATTGTTGTTGAATTTTTTTTTGTGAAATACAGGAAGTGTTTAAGACAACAGTTTTTAGATATCTTTTTATACCTTTATATGTAACTCAAAATTTGATATCAATTGTGTTTTGTAGACTATGCAATATTTAGCGAAATAATCATACAAAGACCATTAGCCAGGCAAACATTACGCTTTCATAAACTTACGCCTGAAGACATTGAAAACATGAAAAAAGAAGTTCAAAATCGTTTTGATGAAATAATGATAGTGTTACGTGATATGCCTAGAAACATGCTCTTAGTTATCAGGTTTGTTTTTACAAACTTTCTTTCAATTGTAGCTGCATGCTATCATTGATTTATTTTTTCAATTGATTTCTTTTATTCTTTGTTAATGCTATTCAGTTTTCTATCTAAAATGATTGTTATAATTAATATATATATCATGTTTTACTGTTGAAAAATTGAAACACTTGGCTTTTCTTTTCATTATAATCACACAGCAATTGTTCTCTGGCTTACATGCACTAGTTTTATATAAAGTTAATCAGGGAACTCATGACTTGTAGAGTAACTGTCACATAATAGTCTCTGATAATTAAAGGTGTTTGTTGCCTTTTGTGTGACGTCCAAGGAACCAGAATTGACATAGTATGCTGATATATATCTCTACAGGAATGTTTAACTGTGGACCTCAGTGTAAATTCATAGACTTGAAATTTTGTTCTTTATTGGAGGACATATTTGGAATACTCCAATAGAGATAAATAACATTACAACATATTCACTTATTATTTGAATGTTTCAGAAATTTAAACACTATTCGAGCTATTATAAGAGATCATGATAATATTATAGATAGATATGGTATCATGGCTAGAAGGTAAAGTATCTTTGTTTTTATTTTATACCTTATCTGAACCCTTCTAAATCATTCCATCAAACAATTGATCACAATTAAACAATCAAATAAAGATATTTATACAGTATGCTCCATAATAAACTGATGAGCTTAAAAACGAACAAGAACATTTGATTTGAGTTGTAATAAATAGTAATTGAAACTTTAACAAGCCAGACTTTAAGAGTGTTCATTATTAGACCAAAACAATTTTTGTATGGAATTATTTCTGGATGTGAATAAATATCTTTGAATGGTTACATTTTATGTCTCATTGCCTGTAATATCAAAGAACAAAAGTTGTTATATCAAATTATTATATGTATCATTTCTATTTCAGTGCTATAACAGGTGCTCATTTAGGAGAAAAAAGAAAGTTAAGTTTGATAGGTTTATTAAGATCATGGTGGGATCAATGTGTATTTGATGTTAGAATCTTATCAGACACATATAAAATGAAGTTTTTTATTTTCATTGGTCGGGTTTATTTACAAATATTACATTTATTAGGAAGAGCTCCATCTTTACAAGAATTAAAGGAAATAGCTGATAGAGAATCCAAAAGGTAATAGTAATATTATTACAAAATCATTTAAAATTTTTATCTACATAATAGAAGAAGCCTTTGTTATGCTGTTCTCAATGGTTTTCTTTTTCATCATACTTTTATAGTTGTTTATTTTCTATGATACTGTAATTCAATTTTCTTGAATCAATAAAATTTGATTTATGCACTCAAAAAAGGAGAGGGAGCATCTTAAATTAAATAAAATAAGATTTCGGGATATCTTTATCATTTGTGATTTTGATTTCTAATCAATTTTGCTACTGTAACTTAATCCTTTTTTGTTTTGCTTGTAGTATTCTCAATCATTTTATTGTATATTTCAGGTTTGATCCATTATGATGAATTTTGAGTTAGTTTAGTCCAACTGGTAAATTATAAAGTAGTAAAACAAATTAAAATAAAACTTTCTAAATTGACAGAATGATGTGTGTTGACTATTTTACTTCAATTACCATTGAATGATTATGTCCCAAATTTACAATAAATCTTTTTATAATCAAAAATCTTATCTATGATGTGTAATAACCCACTTGGTCAATTCTGGCTTCAATTGATAGGTACAGATCTGAACACTGTTCCAACCATTCGAATGGTCCCTTAGTGGTTGCTAAAAATATATCAAAATACATGCACTGATGTTGGTATAGTAAAAAAAAAAAACTCATAATTCAATAAAATTGTCTTTATTTGGACACACTTTTTAAAACAAATAATGAAACTAGAAGCAAAATACAAGTAATACTATGTAACAATCAGAGACAATTAATGCTACTAATTATTACTAAAGTAACATTTACTATGCTGTATCGATTTGGAGGGTTATATAAGTAGGGTAAACAAAATATAATTGGACAAAATGTGATACAAATGCTGGAAGGCAAAATACTATTAATCTTACTCAAATACTGATCGGGGAAATTATTTATGCTGTTGGGAAAAAGGGAAGACAAATCATTACAAATTGAAAACTAAAATTATTTCTAATTGATGGTTTCAAAATTGAATGGCCATTTTATTTTTGCATACCTTGCGAAACTGAACTAATGTTATTTTATTGGTAAGTAAATTTAAAGTTATGTTTGAACTTGTATCTGTCAGATTTATAAAATTGTGTTCAGATAAACTATCACACAGAAGTATAGGTTCAAAATGATCAATGATTTGTGAATCATATATTTTACTTATCAACTTGATCCAAAATATCTGAAATTGTTTGAAAAAATTCTATAAATACTATGAAATACATAATAATGCTGCCTAAAATGATAAACTAACTAAATAAAAATATAACTCATACTTTATAATGCTGATGTAAAGATGTTATAGATTACACTATAATAATCTATAATAAATAAAGTATGATATAATATTGACATACTGGTAGACTTCTGTTTCATTCCAAAAAATAGAAATACCAAGCTGAATTCTTTATTTCTTGCAGCTCATACTTGTTTTCACAATTTTTTAATTTTACTTTTTTGTTCTATAGAATCATGAATTTGCATTTTTATATGATATTGTAACTACTAATATACCAACACTTTAAACCAAAGAAAATATGGAATAATGATAACAAGAACAACCCAGTAAGAAATATTGAATTCATGGCGATTGGAGCAGTTTGAAAGATAACTAATTAAATAATCATAATATATAATAGCACTGAAATACTGGGACATAATGATATATTAAATATATTAAATACATTAAATCATATATCTGTAACCTGATCTATTCTTGCTAACTTATATATGATTTAACAAACTATATAGAGATATATTTAGAAATACTAAAAGAACTTTAAAAATCATGCTACTTGCTATTCAAACCCTGAAAAAAACTGACTGAGAAGCAAGAATTCTGTGTAGACTGTCAATTCTATCTCTAGCTAAACAAAAGTCACAACATTGTTTTTTGATGGTGTATTACTATATTTTGTAACAAGTATCATTTAATTGTTTGATAACTTTTGTGTGTGTCTTTGAATTTAATCATTAGGTTTTTTAACATTGTACAAACAACACTCATTTCATGGCTTATTACATATTATAACTAAATACTTTAGATATTAGAACTATAGACACTTTTATCAGATGTTCCAACAAATTGAAGATCAAAACCTGATTATATTATTAAAAGATATAAGAAAATACTGTGGTTTATTTTATTATATATTGGTCAATAATTTGTATAAATCACAATGAGACAAATAAACAATTGACTTGATTGGACGTTATTTATAGTAAAATGCATTTCAATTGGACGGATATTGAAATAACAAAATTTAACAAGAGGCTAGAATGAGATATAAAAGGCCTCATATATGATAATATATTTTACATGATGTTAGTTATTATTAGTTTGAATAAAATATTTTTAATTCAAATAGAAATATTTAGGCTTACATATTGACAGATAGTAGATCATATGAATGGTGTATGATTATTATGGTCCAGATGGAAACAAATTCAGCAGTATAACTACATCCACTCCTTCAAGCTGTGTACAAAGTTTCATAATTCTAAAGAAGTACTACATACTGATTATTATAAGAATTAATATATAAGAGGGTCTAAAATAACATAATTACTCCAAAATATAATAAATAATAATATATTTAATGTTAAGTACCCTTCTAACTAATGCTGCATATAAAATAAATATTAATATGATATTCTTTCTAATGCTCTTTATATTTTTAATGCTGATATCTAATTTCAACTAATGCTGTTTATAATATATACATATATCCAATTTAAACTAATGCTGTTTATACATATATCAAACTAATACTGTTTATAGATAAACAGATAACTAATGCTGCTTGCTTTCAGTTGAATTTCACTCAAAAAAGTAAAAAAAAAAATTTAAATTCATTGAAATTTGAAGTGTTCATGTTACTGTCTAATTTCTTTTAACAAAAATTCCCAATATATGCTTTAATGCTGTCATGATGGTATTAAAAATTGTACATCTAAAAATATAAGTTATTAAGTATCCTTATATACATAAAATTAAAACTATTAAGGACTATATACATGTTCTAAGGAACAAATGGAATAAATTATTAAAACTGTATAAAAATTTATACAACTATAAGCGAATGACAATCAAAGGAAAATCACAAAAAAATTATGACTTTAATATGAGACAGAAAAAGATATATATGAAAAAAAAATAAATTAAATATTTAATGAAATCCAAAAATATGTTGACATATCAACTATATACAGGGGGAATAAATATCAGCAGTATAAAAATGGTCAATTATTATATAAATATCAGCAGTTGTTATCTTGGTAAATCAATAAATAAAATAATTTATAGGGAATATTTCTTAAATTCCATCATAGAAAACAGATCTGAACAGTTTAGAATGCATTTCAAAATAGCAGATCATAAGAAGGCAAGACAAACAAATAAAAATATATAAATAAATAATTGCATAGATATGTAATGATTACTAAAAAGAAAAGTTATTAATATTTTGCTGAGAAATCTCAGAATATTCTGTTGTCGTATAATATGAGTAGTCATTAATTCCAATAAAAGATTGCCCTTAAATAAATCTATAACTATAACTTAATAAATATTAAATAATGGATTCAAGCAGTGATAAATAACACCTTATAAATAATATAAGAAAACACAAGATATATCAATATAAATTATGAAGTTGGTTTAGACTTGTCCTCATCAATACCTAATATCTGGGTAGCTGACTGTAAAGATTGTTTCATATCTAACATAGTGTCTATTTGTGTTGTATCCACACCTAACAAATTCTGTAAAATATCTGATTCTTTATCATTATTATCATCTTTCTCTTCTTCTTCCTGTAATGTATAATATAAATACTTCTGTATTCTATTTATAATATATTAACTGATTTTATAAATACAATTAACACAATAAACCTCTATGTAGAAACTTGGTATCAAATAAACACTTCCAAAATAAATTAAATCTCTCCAGCATCTGAATTATTTTCGAAAAATCCGATAAAAAATAGTAATTGAATTAAGATTTCTGATGAAAACTAGAGAAAATAAACTTACAGTAGTAGGAGTTGATGTTGGTACTGGAGTACTAGTAGAAGATGGTCTATTAAAAGGTTGATTGGTAGAAAATGGTAATCTAGGTAGCGGATCACTGTAGATACTATTTCCTATAGTAGATTAAAGAATAATGGTTATTTCATCCTACTCAATCAATAAATTTGATAACTCAATGGTTTTTCTGATAACAATTTCAATAGCTAAAACAGGATATTTTGACAGCTTGAATGGATATAGCCACCTTTAATTCTTGTCCAATAGTATTCTAGCCTTGTATCACGTTTTGGAATAAAGATCTGACTGCTTGTTAAAGAGGATTGCAGAAAAACAAGAAGATTAAATGAGTCTAACATAAATATCCAATGAATTAAAGTATGAAATAAATAAGTTACCTATATCATCTGTATAAAAACTATCTGTATCAATATCTGATTGTTGGTTACTATGTTTACGTCTATGTCTCATCATACTATGTTTTAATGTAAATCTCTTAAAGCATATATCACACTCAAATGGACGTTCACCTACAAAACAAAAATTATTTGGTGATATTCAACTTTTTAAACAAAAAAATAATTGTTAAATAAAGACAAACAAAAAACATTAATTCTACTTCTTTCAGATTGTCTTAATATGTAGGAAATGTAACATTGGCATTGGCATTAAGCCTTATAATTTTAAATTAATAAATGCTTTATTACCAGTATGAGATCTCATATGTCTTCTTAAATCTTGAAGAGACCAGAATCTCTTAGGACATAGAGAACAGTAAACTTTACGTTGGAAATAATCAGCAGTTAATACATCAGCTCTTGCAGATTCTAACATTTCATATGTCACATCACCTTCTGTATCAGCTACCATATTACTACTCTTATTTACCATATTATCAATCTGGGATGAAAACTTTTCTATATTCTTAACACCATTCTTCTCAAATAATACCAACCAATCAGTAGTATGATACTTCTCTTTATGTTTTAAACATTCCAGTCTATCATCAAACGAGGCATCACATAAATAACATTTATAAGGTAGATCAATATTATGTTCTTTAAGATGTCGTACCAAAAGTTTCCTGGAGGTAAATTCCTCCGAACATTTCCAACACTGTGTTATCTTATCAACATTATAATTATCACGTTCAGGATTAATATGTTTTTCTGGTACATCTTCATAATAATTATTCATATCTTCATCATCAGTTAATGGTCTATTTTCTTTAACATTATCTTTAATTTTATCTTCCTGTGGATTTATAACAATGACATTGTCTTGAATATCATCTTGATAATTATCTTCTGCTTCACAATCTTCGTTCTATAAAAAATCAATTATATACCGCAATGAAAACATTATACCTAAAAAGTGTTGGATGTGCTCTCTTTGCAACTATGGTTACTTTTGTCAGTAAGCTTTAATGTAATCAGTCAGAGTTTTTATTCAAGATGTATAGAGTATGCCTAGTGAGGGGATTTCAGAGAATCTCATTGCACACTTCTATATAATATTTGTCACAAAACACAAAATTAAATAAAATATCAGTACATAATCATCACAAATTTTGCTTTAACGTGTTATTCTATATATAATGAAATGAAAGATATACCTGTGGTAGTTTATGTGTATTATCAGTATGTTGTCCACCATCAGTATCTATATCACTAGTCTGATCTATATTATCATTATATAGATTATCTATAGGTATCTCACAATTAGGATGTCTTTCACTATAGTGTTTCTCTAAATTACCTACAAGTAATACAACATCAATTTTTATACGCCCACATCTCTCCATGTGGACGTATATTGTCGGCATCCCTGTCCGTCCGTTGGTCCATCAGCATTTGCTTATCAATGCTCTAAAAACTAGATTCGGTATGTGTATACATATTCATAAAATGAAGATCAAGTTCGAATTTGAGCTATTTTCAACCGTTAGAAGCAGAGTTATTGCCCTTGCCCCAAAATCTTGAATATGCTATTACACTCTTAGTTTTCAACCGATTTTGATGAAACTTAAAATGGGTGTTATTGGACCTAAATTGAAAGGTGTGAGAAAGTTTAGTTCTGATTAAATTTAAGGCTTTTTCAAGATTTAGTCCTCTTACGTCAGTTTTGAGGAGTTATCGCCCTTTAACTTCTATACAGTAAGTGCTTCTATCAACATAAATTGCTCGTAAACACTCTAAAAACTAGAGTGTTAGAAGGAATCAAATGAAATTCGGTATGTGCATACATATTCATGAAACGAAGGTCCGTCCGTCAACATTTGCTTGTAAACACTCTAAAAAATTTTTTTATAATGGAATCAAATGAAATTCGGTATGTGTATACAAGTTCTTAAAACGAAGATCAAGTTCGAATTTGAGCTATTTTCCACCGTTAGAAGCAGAGTTATTGCCCTTGCCCCAAAATCTTGAATATGCTATTATTCTCTTAGTTTTCAACCGATTTTGATGAAACTTAAAATGGATGTTTCGTTTTTACCATCTGCATGCCGTGAAGGCATTTCAATGACATCTCAAAGTAATATGCTTAAATCAAGTACATTTGTGGCCAGTTGTGATGATGATGGATAGATAAATGTGGGATTAATCAAAAAAAACTACTACAAGGATTAAATAAAGGGATGTATTCCATTCTCAATAAAGGTGGAATTGTATACATAATTCTACACAATGATATAGCATGGTTTATTGCAAGAGTAGGGAACTAAAGACAAATATTGAGGAGATACCAGATATCTATTAGTCATTTGAATAATTCAAATACAACCAGTTGATACACAACTTTGACTAGAAATTAGATGCAAAATGGCTTTAATTTTCATTAATTTAATATGCATGGTGTATGTTGTTATCTTATGTACTTACTTCTTGTAGCAAAAGAACTAAAGACACACAGATGACATTTATATGGTCTATCCATAGTAGATCTACTGGCAGGATCTAACATATTGACACCATGTTTTCTGATTAGATGTCTTTCTCTGTTCGATTTGGTAGAAAATGTTACTGGACACTGAGAACATTTAAATGGCTTTTGACCTGAAAATAGAATAAAGTTTGGGTGTTTTTGCCATCTTTAATAAATTTCTACTATCTCCTTGCTTACAAAGAAACCATTGAGATAATATTAAAACGGTTAGATCTGTAACATTCTTTCAAATATTAATTTATTTTCCTTATTATTTTGCATAATGAAAAATGGTCAAGGGTGCAGTTCAACATAGTAACACTAACTTTTGAGCGAAAACCCAAAGTATAAGATAAAAAGATCTCAGTAAATACCTGTATGTGTTAATAGATGTCTATTTAAAGAGCTAACCCACGGGAAGGATCGTGGACAATAAGGACATGCTAGTTTATGTGGAGAATCAGCATATGAATTTCTTTTCTTTTTTACTGGTGGTTCACTATTATCTTCTGTTTTATGTTTTCTTATATTATACTGATAGGAGTTATCTAATTTTACTATATTATCAGTCTGCAACAAAATTCATATTTTCAATTATAATAGGCTTACAAAAATAGAATTCATAAAATATTCCACTCACTTATATTCCAATCAATATATTTGTTCTTCCTTAAAGATGGGTTCCCTCATTTTCATTTATAAATGAAAATGCTAATACTTATATGAATAGAAAGTAGAGGTGTTCTAATGACTTCGAAAAATACAAGTTTGTCTCATGTAACCATAATTAATTCATAATTAACTAAATAAGAAGAGAATAACCAGCAGAATTTCAATCAGTTACCAATCAAGAAAGGCCAAAAAGTCTTTTTTTTGTTTATCCAGACTGTACATATGCAATAAGAACACCAATTAATCAAATATTTTGCTTAATTTGACACTAAAAAATAAGGGAACACATCTTTAAGTGGCATTTAGTAATTGGGTAATAAATAACAGTTACTTAATAAATACAAAAGTACCTTTGACGAAACGTCGCAAGTTATTAACCTAATTTCGTGCATGTCCAGTTATTCATTTGTTCTTCAAAATCCTCATAAAATAAGCTTTTCAGTACTTAAATACTACAAACTATTTAAAAAATATTGAAAGCACAGGAATGATTTGTTCAGATGTGGCCAATTTGAGGCTGGAATATGGGCAAGGACAATACATGTCTCATCATGATCGAGGTATATATAAAAACCAATAAATTACCTTATCTATTGAATTGTCTTCTGAGAAATCATCAGAATCCTCATCATGATCATTATTTATACTGCTGGTACTAGTAGCTTTCCTTTTATCAGGTGATTGACTTAAAAAATGTCTAAAACTAGGAGATTGGGCTGTATTTAACATTCTATTTACAGGTGAGAGGTCTGGGCTCGTATCAAAACCTAAAATAGAAACAAGTAATTCAATCATTACATTATCAAATAAGTGTCATAAATCATTTTTTAATGTTCAAAATATCAAATGAAATGAAGATTTACATTCCATTATTCAACAATTATCAAAGATAGTGGACCACATATATGCCCACTGCGGCATGCGGATGGTAAATATTAAAGATTTTGGGGCAAAGGCAATAACTCTGCTTCTTACGGTCGAAAATAGCCCAAATTCGAACTTGATCTTCGTTTTATGAATATGTATACACATACCGAATTTCATTTGATTCCATCCAAAAGCTAGTTTTTAGAGTGTTTACGAGCAATTGATGTTGATAGAAGCACTTACTGCATAAAAGTTAAAAGATAATTCATCAAAACTGACGTAAGAAGCCTAAATCTTGAAAAAGCCTCAAATTTTATCTGAAGTAAACTTTCTCAAACCTTTCGATTTATGTCCAATAACATCCATTTTAAGTTTCATCAAAATCAGTTGAAAACTAAGAGAGTATTAGCATATTCAAGATTTTGGGCAAAGGCAGTAACTCTGCTTCTAACGGTCGAAAATAGCTCAAATTCGAACTTGATCTTCATTTTATGAATATGTATACACATCGAATTTCATTTGATTCCATCAACGTACGGACTGACAGGGTGCCGACAATATACGTCCACAGAGAGATGTGGGCGTATAATAACGCATTATTATCACAATTATGATATTAACTTCCACGAAATTTGTTTAAGAAAACATCAAAAAGAATTTATAAATGAGCACAACTATTCTTCTAAATTGATTAAACATAAAACTTTGTTCATGCACAAAACAAAACACACTCTTCCCAAAATCTACATGCCAGTTTTGAAATTGCACCCAATCCATAAATATTGCTTTAAGTTTTAATTAGAATGTTGAGAAAATGATAAATAATATGAAAAAAATAATGTGTATTTAAACTGAAAACACAAAATATATATCATGCTGTAACTGAAACTGAACTGAATTAAACTAAAACTAACGATTCTAGCCAAAAAAATTTACTTATATCCATTTCCATTTTATACTTACAAAGGCCCTGTATCCATGTAAGCTAAATAATAATATTCATATTTTAATTTTTTCTGTAACTTTTCTAATTTTCAGTACATTTCAAGTAGAACATTAATGGCCACCAAAGTTCCATATTTTTTACTGAGATTATCAGATATATTCGTAATTCTTGCAAGCCTCTTTGAAGGTGTTCCTAGAATTATCTTTTAAATCAAAGTCCTGAGACAGTGAATCATACACAATCGATCAATGAATAAAAAAACAAATAGCTTGCATTCTTACCTCTCTGAGAAAATAAAGCACTAATAGCCTGGTTAGGATAGGGATATTTAGCAAAAGCTGGATGGATTGGATATGGCATAATTGGTAATTTTCTTGGTGCAGCTGTTTCTTGTAACCATTTTTTATTATTGTTGGTATCTTTTTCTGGGGTTATATCATGTACTTGTTGAACATGTAAAATGAGTTCACTTTTGATATCAAAAGATTTGAGACAATAAGGACAGTTGTACATCATGTTGGGTGATATGTCTGTTTGTTTTGGACTGATCTGAAATAAGAATAAATCAATGTTATTATTGTCTAGAAAGCTAGAGACAACAAACCAAGTGAACCATGTACTTGGGAGAAGATTCTAATTACAATTTTTTTTAAATTACCTTCATAACTATATTTTGCCTTTGTATGCAAAGAACTTTAAAATTCGTATGAACATGACTTGGTTTACAATAGAAAACATAACAATACCTTATTATCAACTGGTGATTTTTTAACTGATAGATCTATAGGTTGATCATTATATAATGAAGATGGTGTTGATACAGTTGATTTATATGGTAATGGTGACTCCATCTTACTCATCATATGTTTTAATAAACTATCTGTTACTGCTGATGATGGGCTATCATTGGTCTGACTCTTGGGTGAAACTATAATATCAATAGATAAATATTCAATAAATCAAAATCAGAATAACAGATATCCAAATTTATTTTCATTGAAGTTTATCCTTAAACATATGAAATACATGACTTTTAAGTCAAATTTCAAGAGATAGTTGGAAAGCTAAGATAAGATAAGATGAGCTGTAATTGGAGATAAAATGAAATGGAGTTTTAAATCCTACATTTCAGGCAATACCATGCCATGCATGAATAAATTTGCAGTTATCTAGTCACATACAAAGGCCAAGGAGACTATGCCTTCGAGTTTTTGTTACATTCCAATCATTAAAGTTTCATACATACAGTGAAAGTGAATATACCTTTAGAAATTATTTTATCTGATGTTGAACTATCGGAATCCATATCTACTATATTGGCATCATTAACATGTATATATTCTTCTATTTCATTACTATTAATCTCTATATGTTGTTTTTGTATATGTCTGACACAATTAGCTCTTGTAGAAAATCCAACCTGAAATATAGTTAATATCATTTAATAATTAGTCTGGACTCCGTTTCTTTAAAAACCTTACAATAGAAATTGCACACTTACGACAAAAATTAACCATATTCCGTTCTCAAATTGAAAGTGCGATTTTAAAAGTTTGGCTTTTTACCTAAATATTATACTTATTAATATTCAAGTGCATAAGATGAATCAAAACAAACTTTTTAGACACCAAGAGTAAAATATTGGCTACTAACCTGACATTTCTGACAGAGAAATGGTTTAAGTCGACAACTGGTGTGAGATCGTAAATGGTGTTTTAAAGCTCGAAAGAACTTGAAATCTTCACCACAATATTTACAGACTGTATCAGGAGAATGAAATGTATTTATTTTATCTATATCAGCAGTAGTAGTACTATATTTATTATATCCTATAGACTTCTCTATTTCACTTTTATCATTTTTACCATGTTTCTTTCTGCAAAATATAATATAAATTCTATTCAGGCTTTTAACATTGAGTACAATTTTTGTGTATTGATGCCAACTTTTTATCACACCAAGGGTGAAAGAGTACACAAAAATACTAACCTGACATGTCTTTCACAATTAGCTTTAGTAGTAAAAGCATAATCACAAATAATACATTGAAATGGTCGTTCTCCGTTGTGAGTTCTAAAATGACGTATCAAGGTACTTTTATCAGCACTAGAGTAATTACACATACTACATTTATACGGTGATAGTCCCATATGGATTCTCTTGTGAGCTGGAAAAATAATAGAAATAGAGACATAATGAGAAATAAAATTAAAATACTAGAAACACAATTCATTATAAACCATGCAAAAACAAACAAGTTAAAATAAACAAGCTTTTAGTATACTTAAAAAAAGACACCATTGAAAACAGATCTTCATAATCAACATCTCATGCATCTTCACAAGGTTCACTAAATGTAACATTTTTAACAAACATCAAGTCAAATCTAACCATGGTAAAGCAAGCAAGGTTAACAATAATCTAACAACATATAAGAGTAGTAACACAGCACAGGGTCCATGTGTTACATTAGAACATATTAGTTACTAGTACTAATCAATTCTCAATTGTTAATATCTAATACTAACTCACCATTCAATGTTTTCTGATTAGGAAACACCATATCACAAAATTTACACAACAAACCAGTAGCTTTAGTATCATGCAAATCAGCAACACTACCATTTCCTTCCCCAGATACAATAGAAGAAGCAGGACTTGTACTTGTAGTAAAAGGTGAATCAGCATGCAACATACCTCTCTGAACATTCAGTGCCATATTACTTACATTGAATGGTAAGAGACCTGGTTTTAAATAATTGAAAGGGCTAAAGGGATTGAAATCTGACGATAGTTTGGGAGGACTTGTGTCAGGGGAACTTCTGTCTTCCTCTTCGTCCTCCATTTTTTCAGTTTTAATCCTTTCATCATGATTGGTTGGTAGATCTGATGGATTTGGTTTTAAATCAAGCATAGAAAAGAAACCCTTCTTATATTTCTCTCCAGTTTTTTTGATAGAAGTTTCATCTGTCTGAATATCAGAGGTCTCAAATGATCGACTTTCTAAATGAGAATCAGCATGTAGCATGAGAGAACTCTTACAAGGGAAAGCTTTTCCACATTCTTTACACATAAAATCTGAAGTATTAGAGGTGATTTCTTCATTCTCTTCACACCATGTTTTAGCAACTGAAGGAAATTTGGGTGATGAGAAATTCACATAATTGCTTTTTTTAGTTGCTTTAGATCCAGAATTCTGGGGTGATGTTGAATCGTCACTTTCATCACTTCTCGGAATCTCTTCATTGACATCATCTGATTGGTCAAGTTGAATCTCGAGACGATTTTCTTCATCATCTGATTGGTTGTCATTTTCAGACTGTTGATCTTGGTTATCTGATTGTTGATCAGATTGGGCTGGTGACTGTTCCTCTACTTCACTAGTCACTTCTTCTTTTATTGGTGTAGTAACAGGACTTGTATCAACTTTACTGGGAGTGAAAGGGTTTTCTTGACCATGTTCAATTTTTAAATGTGTCATGTATTCAACCAAATTAACCATTTTACTACACAACGGACATGGTATTTGTTGTTGAAAGGGGAACATACCCATCTGAAAGAAGAATTATTTGAAGTTAAGTGAAGAAAGATAGTTACATGCTAAGCATTATCATCACAGTGTAAAAATTTGTCCAATATCTTTAATTCTGTTTCAGGTGTTGATTTCTAATTTCATTGTGAATAATTATATAAGCTGCTACTAAACAATTCACAATAACTTCAATATGTATCAAACATTTTGAGAAATTTGTGTAAAATTTGTATAATTTTTTTGAAAATATACTTACTGATAAATCAGGATACATTTGTGGGAAAGGTGGTCTCATAAAAGGCATGTAAGGTGAGTACGCAGGCCACACTGGTCTAGGCATAAATGCTGGCATCATCTTGGACTTAGGTATCATGGACGGCTTATGCAGGTCAGTAGACCAATCAAAGGCTGCTGAGGATGATTTAGATAATTTTCTTGATTCATCCATCAGATCAGAGTCTCGACGAGATGTTGAGACATCGTTTTCATCAAGGGAACTAGTGGAAAAGAGTTTTCCTTTCCAACCACCCTTACCACGTTTATTTGGTCTAGGTGAATCTGTACCATTATTTTGTTTCTGGTGAATTCGTGAGTGACGATGCATATTACCATTGGTTGTAAATGTCATTGAACAGATCTTGCATTTGAATGGTCTTTCACCTGTAAATAATAATAATAAATCAAAGAATAACTAGAAATTTGGTGTGATTATTTGTTAAAAAATTTCATCTTAGCAAATATGTCTAGCTGTTTAAGAAAGAAAATTGCAGCCAAATGACAACAACCAGAAAGGAAAGTCAATCTCACCATCCATTATAGCAGAAACAGAAAAACTGGGCAAGATGAGTCTGAATAGTCATACTGGCATCTTTATATGAAAGTCATTCATTAAATATATCTAAAATCTACCTATTGGTACCTACCTGAATGTACCAACATGTGTCTATCTAACGAACTCTGAGAACTCAGTATTTTATTACAAATGGTACAGGTATTATTTTGGCTGGTGTGATTACCAGAATTATGCATTCTGATATGTACAGTGAGATCATGATTAGAATCTAGATGGTCTTGACACATTGGACAAACATATTTTGTTCTACCATCACTACTTGGTATTGGTAATATCTGTAACATAAAGCATCACTTATAAATTAAATATGTCAATGCAAGATATTTTCTTTTATTAGGACATATTGAACTACATCACTGTGAATATGACAATGAGTTACATGATGAAACATTAAGGTTTTAATAGTAATTTAAGTATTGTATGTAAAGCAAGCATTGGTAATAAGTAAGTTAAAGTAACATTGCCTTGCAAATTGATTAACATAATAAGTTTATTTTATGAACCATACCTTTGTGGCATCTTTAAGTTTTGGTAGTGGCAGATCTGAGGTTGGTGGTACTGAGCTACAAGTACTGGACGGAGTAGAGGGTGAGGTAATCATCTGTGGATTTTCATTAGGGGAGGTAACTCTAGATGTATTATCTTCACTATTTGAGAGACTAGATGATAAGGTATTATAATGAAACGGCAAGTTAGTGTCTATATTCAATGGTTGAAGAGTATCCATCTGAAAAATTCAGGTATAAAAACCATCAACCAAAAAAACACTAAGCAAATATGAGCTTATCTTACAAAATTTGGATGAAAGTCTTCTACAAAAATCAAACCACTCAAAGCCATCATTTATCCAGAATCGCTGATTTACACGAAGGAAAACCAAAAACAATTACAACCAACCATAAAACAATAAAGAAAAATGTCCAATAATGAAATCGAGTTATCATATCGACAAAACTAGGATTAATATTTTCTATTATAGAATTTTCATCAAAGGATTTTAATGTTTTTTTCTCCTAGAATTTATTATCCCTAATATAGTTGAAAATCAATAAGAATAAAATGCATGTGAATGTCATGTTTTTAATTTCCAATAATTCATCAAAATTATTTCATTCTCTCACGAGATAAGTGACAGTAAGTGTGTTGATCACATTGTTTTCCATGTTAATATCATCGATAGCACACCACAATTTCATTTCCCTTTCTCATCAATGAGATTTTCAAACTCATCATACTGCAGTGAAATGATAAAAATTCTCACCAATCACACAGGTAAAAGAAAAAGGTGTGTTTTATGTGGAATAATTATAACACTATAACAGAGAATATTATCTGTGTGCTGAATACATCCTAATAATGGTTGAAAGTTAACTCTTGACACTAATTTAATAAATCTTATAATATTAAATCAATAACGTTTTATCCCTTTGTATAAATCACCATATCTCTTCAATACTAACTCATCGTTCTAGGACAGATTTATTATGAAATTTAGTCATTGACGTAAAACAGCCTTTTAAATAAACAATGCTGAAAATTTTACTGTGTCATAAAATCTCAACAAGTCATCCTCAAAATTTCCTCCAATCACAAAAGAGGATAGTAATATTTGAAATCAGAAGATAAGTCTTTCCGCAATCATTCACATAAAAGGGTAACTAAATAATACCGTCAATCAGCCATTTCATATTAAATTCTATTTATTTCTATACAACATTGATACATTATTACTAATGGCTATCTAATAGTAGGAAAATTTAAACACTATATTATTCAACATCTCAAATTCATATCAAATATATACCAAGCTACTTTTTAAAAGGAATTATACACATTGTCTATATCCATGACTATCTGCTATTTCCTTATGAGCCTTCTAGAATCTTCAGTTTTTAACAATTTATATTATCAAATATGTGTACATACACAAACCAGAAATGAAGGCCATGTTCGTTTTAGTATCTTAGCCTTTTTGGAATTTATTCTTTGTGATATTTACCCCTATGGTTTCACATTTTGAAAATAATATAGATTTTGAACTAATTTTCATCAGATTAGGTATTTAGGTATAAGATCAATTGTTTAGTATGAAATATTCATGATTAAAGTACTAATGAATAAAAAATACATATAGTTACCGGTTCTGATTCTTTCTGGTCATCTATTACTAATCTATTACTTTCTTCATCACCTTTTTTATCTTCAACCACTGAAATGACAAGATTTGGAGGACTTCTATAGAAATTTAACTATAATTAACACATCTTATTTAATACAGTATATGCAAAATTGTAAGTTATACTATTCAAAACATTTTTGTGAGGGAACAGATCCCAATAAATTATCATCCATTTATGCGGCATCCAAGACAAAATAATTTCAAAAATATAATTATATATATATATATATATCTCATACTTTTATTAACTAACTTACAGGTTTCAAATGTAAGTCCCTACATCAATTTTGATATACTGATCACTGATAGTGTTGATACCCTTAACACTGTAACATTTATTGTAAAACATCAATAATATGTAAAACACCAGCTTAAGGCATGATAATATTGAAGAGAAAGAGAGAGAGGGTAGGTTGAATTAGCAACTCAACTATGAAAATAAAATATGATTGATGCAGATAGATGATATAAGATAAATAATCTAAGTTGAACCTCCCTTAGGCTTAAATAAATAAACTATTTACTTCTCCTTCATCAAATCATCTTTTACTGTATTCTATTATATCTAAGCTTATAACATATTACAGCAATTAGACCCATTTTATCCAGTTGATGTTGTTGACTATACTCAAGAACTCATCACTCAACATGCATTTACACAAGAACATCAGGGTCCCGTTTCTCAAAATATCGAAAAATTTACGTACAAGTGTAAACGTTAAAAAATAACGATTTGATCATGTAAAAATATGTTTTTCTACACTTAACGTGCAAGTTAAGTGGTAGGAATATTTTAGAAACAGGGTCCAGATGCTTAATCTAAACGGCTGAAGCACAACCTTAGTTTGACCTTGTAATTTATAAAAGTAAGTTATAAAACCGAATTCATTTATTCACTTACACTATTACATCTACTGCACATGCACATCTAATTATCAATAAATGAAAATATAACTTAGAAGATGAAAATTAATTTGGTTGCTTAAACTCTTGTTGATCACTTCAATTTTCTGGTTCTAGTTTTTTCCAAAAGGGAATTATTTGATAATTTTAAAATTATTTGTAGAAAATAAATTGTCATAAATAATGATTTGTGAAATTAGAATAAATTAAAAGATTTTGAATTGTGTAGAAGTGAAGAAAAAGAATGCAAAGTGAAGTGTTCAATTATAATGTTTAGATAAATAAAGTCAATGAAAGGTATAAAATAGGTGAATTTATTGTTTGAAGCTTCAATAACTACGATCAGTGGTGACTTGAAGTAGAAACCGTTACTGGTCGCGGCAACGATTCAATAGATCTTTTGTCCCATATTCTAAACCTGCCTCTTGATATCCAACCTTCCTCATCAATAGTCAGTGATTTGGGGTCTCATGTTTGACAGTTTGCCAGCTAGTACCATGGAGACTGCTTGCGTAGGTTTTTACACTTCAATTGTTCACGTAGAGAAGCAAGTTTGTACACCTCTCCACATATTAATAACATGGATAAAGGCTGTAATAACTTCAGTGATCAGAGAAGTAGTATTATAATCTTAAGATTACTGTACTTCTTTACCTATATTTTATCCCTTCTTATTTTATCCTTCAATAGCTATACAACATAAAGTTAATTCAATACGTCCGAAAATATAACTTTGCAGGAAATGAATAACTATTTTTAACTCTTCTATCCCTATCATTCTTAAATCATTTTCAAACATAATATTTTTTTAAAAGAAGTTTAAGACATTATTAGGTAAATGATATATATTATTGTATGCACAGGTTATATCATTCTAAAAAATTTAAATAACTTTTGATATACATTTTATTCAGTTGAAAAATCAATTGAAAATAATCGCCTGCTGTAGACAAATTTGGTCATATTTTTACAATTATCCAAGCTAACTAGGCAACCTTTTTAAATGCCACTTTCTTTGAGCCATGCAATAAGAAAACAAATTCTTATAATATTGTCTAATAAAAGTTGCATGCACAAACAAGTAATAGTAAAGTTGTCTATTAATGACATGTAAATAATGGTAGTAGGTGTGAGATACAGAATATAAGAATAACAATACAAATACCTTTACCATAAGACACAATAAATACAATACATTCTCTATTATTATAAATGATTTGATGACATAACACACTAAGTAGACAATTTTTAACACAATGCTTCAAGCCTATGATAAAGATACAGGCATACAAATATTTATTCATGTACTTATCTATAGAAATTAAAAGTGACAAGTCTCAACAGTTTATCATTGAAACATCAATTTACTCAAGCCTTCACTTACTCATTCGTTATTGAACCACACAAACTAACATTTTTAAGCTGAACATTAATTTCTTAATGTATGCAAGGCTGACTGCTAAACAAATCCATAATAAACTTATTAATTTAATCATGAATATTATCCATTTCTATATGAAATAAATTTTGATATTGCATATTGTGCCTAATGTATCATCACAAATCTATTTCCCTTAGCATCTTTTTTTAAACAAGTTTAATCTGGAATAACAGAAGAACAAAATAATCATCTCTGTTTGAAAGTCTGGAAGTAAAGCCACCATAATCATTGTACTGTGCCTTAAGAAATTCGGTAATTTTTTGGTAATATGTCACACCTGTTAAGGAATTGGAATCTATAATTTAATTTCATGCATTACAATAAGGTAAAATATTATGTTGATTTTCATTTCTTCTAAAAATCAATAGAGGAAAATTGGAAAAAGGATGTAAACTTATCAGAAATAACTGTGTGTCGAAGAAATTTAAATAAAAACATGTCCAAACTCACATATATCTGTTTAATAAAAAACCATTGATAAAAAGACGAGTTTTAATATTGACATTCTTTTAATTTCATATTCAACAGGTCTCATATTTGGGCTTCTAATTTTCATGTTAATTTTCTAAATCTACTAATAAAAATAGGAAAGCAGGAAAAGGAAATAAAGAACAGAAAGCAAGAATAATTTTTGAAAAGGATAACAACAGGTTCTTTCTACCAAGTCTTGACCAAAGCTGATCATTGATCTTTCCCATATTATGAGTGTACTAATTTACAGCTGGATTGACTCAATGACGAAAAATATAATACATTTATGT